TCTAGATGCAGTTTTTGTGTATTTTGAGACCTTTTTCAGTCAATGTTTCGTTAAAAAACTACGATTTTTTTCAAAACTAATATCAGATTCAAAATCAGCGTTAAAAACTGAGTCGATCTATGTATGTTGTGGATAATTCTGAGAAAAAAAAGTTTTTTGAAAAATCCCTGTACTCCCCCTCAGGGATTGTCCGGTCAATAATGACAACATTTTCGATAACTCAACCATTTCTTGACGGATCCTTCTCATCTTCGAACTCGACTGAGACATTGATGAGGCTGAGCTGTGTAGAAAATTTCATCATGATCTAACTCTCTTTTCGAAAGTTATCGTGTAAACAGACGGCCGGACGGACACACTGACCGATTCTAGAGTGTACTCACTTTTTGAGCAAACAAAAACGATAGTTCTCAAGATGGTAATGAATTCCTCTGAGACATCTTATTCGATTAAAATGAAGTAACAATAGATAAAAAAAAAGAAATCAAGATTTTTACTTTTGATAATCAATAAAATTAAAGCAAACAAATGATCTTTGTTTTATCTCATTTTAAGGTAAACTAAATAGATAACGATCTTATTGATCACCATATTTTGCATTAGATACACAACCAACAGATTTTTTTTCTATCTAAAATGAAAATCCTGTTGAAAATACGTGTTGAACAATAGATTCTATGCTTGTATTTAATATTCTGTTTGTACTTATTATGTGTCTCTATAGATCGAGTCATTCTACAATATATTATTGAATAAAATAATAATCATAGTCATATCTCAATTATTTTTATTCGTAGTATTGTTTCTTATTTATAACATGACGGAAGTGGTCATAAATAATGTGGATACTGGTATTTTCTCAATATCTTCATTAGTTTCCATTGATTTAAACTGAATCATTTCTTTCAATAGATTCTACATTCAATTCTCGACAAACCGACAGATAATTGGTTATCATAGAAATAGAAGAAGAAAAACATAGGTATTATAGTAATATTGGAAACTTACAATGTAGACATCGAGTACTGATGTTCTTCCTGTCTTGATTTATTTCCATGGAGAACTATCTAGGAAATTTTTCATAAATTGTATGATCATTTTTGTAGAGGTTCAAAATTTCTATTGCTTTTTTTTTATATTCATTGATTTTTATAATGAAACCTTACTGTATGAAAGAAGAATTATCTAACTACTTTTTTTATTGTAATAAAAAATACTGTTTTCGTATAATTTGAGAGAAAAAGGTCCATCTTGTTTCATACAGCAAGGTTTCATCAGGGAAAAGTTGATACTTCAGTTCGTCTAAATACTTTGATGTGAGTACACACTGTGCAGAAAATAAAATGTTAAATCTTTTGAAAAACAAAAACTTGCAGTCCGAATCCATGGAAATTAGAGAAAATTTTAATGTCCTCCGTTATTTATCACTAACTCATTCCTGGAAAAACATTTTAATGGTAGAATAAGAAATATTATAGATCACCATCAGGAATCCTTACTTAACCTGATTCATAATTAAAAATTGTATCATTATTTTTTTAAATACTATTCAGAAAATCAGTTTGCCTTGATTTCAATCAAGTGCACACAATATCAAAAGAAAAAAACAATGAGAAATCTAGTCTGTTTATTAGTTTATTATTGTTTTCCTAATTTAATATTTATTCGTATGACAATAATAAGTGTATGGCCATGTAAGATAAACATTTTTGAAATTTCCTTTTGTGCAATCATCTCCCGATGTCGAACATGGTAATCGGTGGTTTGTGTAATATTGACAAAGATGAGGAATATCAACAAAACATGGTTGACTTTTGTTATTTTGTAGAGTATATGTTTTATTCTAAACATTTCAAATGAATCTGCTATAGATTAGAAGATTTTAATAAATTACCGGTAAGCTTAAGATTTTATATTTAATAACTTTTCCAGAAGTATAAATACTTAATGTCTAAAACAAAAACGGTTAAAAGTTATTTTATTTTATTTTGGTTTCATATACATAGTCATGATTATTTGAATTGGTTTTCTTGGATTGTGGTCGAACAAGAAAAGCTCCATTTTGACAACTTGTTATCAGGATACTTGAGTTTTTTCGAAGAAACAAACATGAACATCAAAACTAAACTCTTGCTTTAAAAATGACTTACTCTGCATAATCATTAAGGTCATTTGTATAAAAAATATCATCCCATGTGAATGACTAAAAAACCAAATATTTTATAGGAAAAATAAAATCTGTTGATTTACGTCATTAGCTGTTGATGTTGAAAGACCTCGTTCTGTTGTTCTTTGAAGTTCGGGTTGAGATATGCTACATTTGTTTTTTTTATCATGTTCTTCGTCGAATACTGAGGGAGTTGGTTTCACGCAAAGATAAATATTATCTTCCGTCTGAAGACTATCAAAACGATGACGTTGTTCTATTTCTATTTCGTTATTTTCATTTGAACGCAAAAATTTTTCGTATTGTATAGAAGATGCAGGTCGATAACAAGAAGTAGATGAAGTATATAAGTGAGGTGAATCTCGTTCTTGTTCTAAAGGCAAACAAAATAGATGTCTTAGAGAAGATATGGCAACATGTGTATTTCTATTGAATACACCTCAACAAATCGAGTAGAGTTCATTTTATATTTATTCCAGGTTTATTCTGAAAAATTCTATAACATTTTAAAGGTTGAAGTTATCTCACATAGGTGCTTGATTGTTTTTATTCACTTATGTGATTTCCTTAATCATTAGGCCATCTAGCTATATCACCATAGATTTTTCTAAACGAAGATTAAAGTAAACAAGGTGTTGTTGATTGTAACTTATGACGTTATCATACATCGATGAAACGGAATAAGTTTCGACGATGTTCTTCTGTACAGAAAATACTTCATATTCTATGTTGACATTAGAATTAAGTGAGCCAACTGAAAAGAACGGCTTTAGATAAATCAAGTGTAGTTTAAGACTGCTCTGTCCCATTCCATCGAATACGACAGTTTGCTATAATCACAAGAACGTAACAGAAAAATTGGAAAAAAAAACGACGACCACAAGTTTGCTGTAAAAAGTAATGCATTAGGCAGTTCACTCTATATCGACAAGTGATTTTGTGAATTGTAAACTTAATTTATTAATGTTGGAAAAATCTATTCTGTATGATATACAGACAAATTTTTATTTACAAATAAAATTGATTTCATACGAAGGTGAATGAACAAAATCTCTATAGTCATGAATTATTTCGTACCGGTTGTGAAGGATCGATAATAAAAATAGAAATGTTGTTTATCCTATCACAATGAACAGATAAGATCAGATCAAACAGAAAATTTTGTTTTGTTTCATAAGTTCTTTTTTCCCAATCAACCATCAATGTTCGATGAACAATTATGTGATATTGTAACTATTCAAAAACTATTTTCTACTAAAATTTTACAATTGCTTGTTTTCTTTTACAACTCATCATATCAAAACATTTCTTTCATGACTGTTAAACTGAATTCTTGATCAATAAAAGTAAACCTATTCATATAACGATATACATTGCAAATTCTATCTATTCGACTTTAACATTTCATCTTTATATAATATATTACCTTCTTCTCGATAATAGTCATTATCGATTTTCGGCCGAGTTGAACTGAAGATACTTTATTCGAATTAATCATGCAACAAATCCATTCAACTTACTCTATGAATAAAAAAATAAAGTAAAATATCCCAACGAAAATAATAAGCATAAATTCTATTTACTCTGAGTAAATGGTTGATAATTATAAATAACATCAGTCTCAATACAATCTAAAACAAAAGTAAACACAGTACAACAAAGCAAAATCACTTTGATTTGATTGAATCAATAAAATTGGAAAAGCTTTAAGCGTAATTCATGTAGAATTAATATATGCAACACACTATAGCTACTATTTGTACACTCAAGGAGAGAAATTCTAAAGGACTCGTCACAGTCTGTGATGCTTTATAATAACCTTTCCACAAAAAACGAACTCGATTAAAGTTCTTCGAATCTAAAATCTTCAGGAACAACATCGATTGAATCAAAATCCTATCCGACGGACTCTACTTGCAAGGATTGTTTTGGGTTCAAATTTCTACCCCTCGACTTCAACATTATTTTTTAGCTTGTGTTTCATAAAACGAAAACTGAGCAAAGCTAATCGTTTTTGTTCAAATTCTTATTTAAAATACCTTTATTTTGCAAATCATCTTTCCAACTTAGAGTTAGATCTTGTCGAACATTTGAAAAACTGATTAAACACTGGTCACATTTTATTTTCTCTAAAATATTTCCTTTGTTACTCACTTATTCGAAATAGAATTTTGATTTTTGTAATTGAATGCTTGTCGAACATATTTCATCCATTTCTAAATAAGAAAAAATTAGATAAAGGTTGAATTGAAATTTTCATTTTCTTGCATCTCGTTCATCAGAAGTAATAGTGCCGAAAATTTCAATATCTCTTTGGTTTTTTCCAATTAACTCGAATAAATAGCAGTGTGATTTGATTGTTTTTGAACATTGATCTGACAGTCTGTTTGAAAAAAAGAAAATTATTCAATTTAATTTAAATAACAATCTGTATATATTTATCTGTTCAGTAAAATTGTACTCCTCGCATAAATTCTAGAGTGTTTAATTCAAAATTTTAGAGAACAACAAATTGTTCTAAATAAAATGATCTATAAAATTTTGCAAAAGAACTCGAATTCTATGTCAACTTCAACTTGGGTCATAGATAAGTCAGTATCACATGTTTATCTCTTTTCATGACATAAAGAATAAATCCTTCGTCATAGCTGCTTTTTTACAAAAGTACGTTGGAAATTGAATAATTGTAACACAAAAATAGAGTAAATATTTGCCATTTTCTTTCATTTGAATATTTCCAACTCATATTTATTTGTAGATTAATTTTACCCGTAAAATTAGAATCTGTTATGATTTATGGTGCCAAAGTTTGAAGAAAGTATGCGAATGAAATCGAAGGAAAACTTTTTAGTGATTGAACACAGATCCGAACCTATTCGTTCTTGACTTTTTGCAAACAAATTTGTAAAAATTTAAACTCCTTTTTGAACATTTTATATTTGATGTCGACTACTCTATTTTCTTTTAACTGATAAAATGTACAAAGAAATTAGTTCGAAAGTGCTAACAATGTCATGGAATATTTTTTCTTTACAAGATGTAGAATTGCAAATATGACCTATGCGTAAACAACGTTTTCCACAATATCTGTTCAACTTTTGTTCATTTATTAGTCATTAGAGAGAATTGACTTTGATCAACTAGAATGAAAATATTATGTTTCTTTTAGAATGTATTTCATATATTTTGTATGTGAACATTATGGGATCTGACTAAAAAAATATTTTAGTTGATGTCGTATGCTATAGGGCAATCTGGTAGCTATTGAATTTTATCAGATTTCGTATAGGATACAGTTGTTTGACTTTACTAATGAAAAGACACGAAAACATTCAATAGGTATTTTCAAAAAATGAATTTGCAATTCCAACAAGACTTGATCAAAAATAGTTTAAATAAAACATATAATTATTATAAAACTAATGTTTCAGCGCATCACGAAGGAAAATTACAACCTCAATATTTCAAAATATTCGAATCATAAGTTTTTATCTTGAAACGAATATTATTAACGAGTTAGGGAAGAACAAAATAATGACTGTTTTAAGAAATCATTTCAATACATTGATAAGAAGTGAGTGAAATACGATTATCTAATATGCGTTTTATTTTTGACAGGTATATAAAGAAATTGTAACATTATTTCTTGTCTGATTTTATTAACGATTATAGGATAAATATCAATTATTCATCATTCGCAAGACGCGAAATGTTACGATCGATTGATAGAAGAATGTTCATTCCAATATGTATTTGACACAAACACAAAAAGATCGATATTTCTTCGTCTATTTTGCACCTCTGAAATATCGTGAGCTTTCCTAAAAAAACGTCGTTTTTTTGGATATGTTATTTCGTTTATCAGCTGACTATATAGGGCAATCGTCTAATATTCGATAGAGAAGCAAAATTTCAGTTTGTCAATGGAGATTTTGTGTTTTGAACACAATTCTATCAAAAAGCAACATATGTATATTAACTAATTATACCATTATTGTTGTATTATACGTAAGCAAGTTTTGTCAAAAATATAAAATTTACGTTCTAGCTAAGTACTTTTAGTTCTCTCGAATAGCAGCGTAACCTCAGTTTTAATAATATGGACAATGCCCACATGATCAACTGTGTGTATAGTAAAGATACAGAAAGCGAAGCTTATCCGACGTAGTTTCCGTTGATGAAAGACTGAACTATTTCACCAGTTGATTACGCTGTTTCTGTTTGATGATTCATATCCATACAAATATTTAGTAGGCATCTTGAATCAACAATTACTTAAACTAATGTTATCAGACTTGCGCCTATATTTCGTCTGCCTATCTAAAGATAAGATTTGCAGTAAACATCTTCAGACTTCTGCAAATATGCTACCTCTAGTAAATCTATTAATTATACAAGATATTCTATTGTTATTGTTCACTATTCGTAATTTCTTTGTGTATACCATCAAAAAGATGTATACCCTAATTGTAGGTAAATTTCTGCAAATCTACATATTTTTAAATTCCTATCGTATGATTCTTTCGAAAGATTTACTTTTCATAATTGTCTAACTGGAAAACATTTGACGATTTTTTTTTTTGATTTCGATATAAATACATAACCATAATTTGTTTATCACGTGCGATTGGCAGTTTTGCTAAAACAACATAATAAACTGCAACTAAAAAAGGTGAAAATATTGCATAGCACATTGATTTCTTTTCAAAACAAATAAAATCGTCGTTTACATTGTGACAGATTTAAGAATTTAATTTGACCATAACGATAGTTTAAATACCCTTCATAAATGATCCATCTTTTCTCTATATCCGTATATTTAGGTGACGTACAATCAATGGATGCGTTGACAGCGTTTTTTGTTGTTAAAGAACCTTTTAATGCTTTGCTTTTTGAAGCTGAATAAATTAAAATAAAATAAAATAGGTCATAATATTAATTTTTCGTATGTATCATCATACTCATAGATATCTATTCTATCTAAAAAAAACAGAAAATTGAAATATTATTCTTGTTTATTCAATTAAAATATAAAATAGCGAAGAGATGATCATTTTCTTCCTAGTAAAATCCTCCACGCAAGGCTAAAACTAAATGTAGAACACTACCAGCAGTAACATTATATTCATTAACAGTTTTATCATCCAACATTTGTTTACCACCGAATATAAGACGTTGTTGCGGTGGAGGAATTCCTATTTAGAGTAAAGGAAGTAAAATAAGTTTTGCAAACAGCGAGACTTTATATGACTACCTTCTTTTTCTGCAACTCGTTCTTTAATCCGTTCTATTTTATCTGTTCCGTCAATATCAACTTCGATTTCTCTACCAGTCAATGTTTTTACTTTAATCATCATTTTTTATCTATTTCAACGCTCGTAGTTACCAACTTATAGTTTTACGAGATAATATTACTAGTGGATCGTTTACGGTATTTTATGGAATACGAATCAGATGATTTCATACCTGTCGTTTTTTTTAAATTTCAACCCGTGTTCTTATTAAAATAAAATAATTTTTCTTTACATATTATTTAGAAAAAAAAATCCTAGACCAATATTCAAGTTAAAATAATCTGATACAGATGTCGTTTTTATTCATCATTTTTTACAGAAGTATGAATAGATAGACTTTATTATTGGAAATTGATTGTGATCATTGGTTGTTAAAAGAGAAAAAAATTCCTTGCTAACTGTAGATCGAAATACAAAATCGAAATAAATATGTATTGATTATCTAAACAAGGTCATATATATTCATTTGTCCTTCGCAAAAAGAAATATTCTAATCGTGTAAATATGAACTATCATAAATGCATTTTTTCGATCGGATAATATAAAAATATTTTCAACTAAACTGTTGTTAAGACCGTTTGTTAATAACATTCTTTTTTTTTGTAATAGCACGCAGGTAAAATTGAAAGTTCAATGTCTTGCTTTATGTTTCAATGAGGTACTTATTCATATGTCCATGAACATCATTCATCATCGTCAATAGAGAAAAAAGAAAGACAGCAGAACAAGTGTGAAGAATCGAGCGGTTGACTGCAATGTAGCGCTTTCCATCAGCATCATCTCATCTGTCTACACCCTCTTGTGATGTAACAAAAAAAAGTTGCCTCCGAATGACGAGTGATTATACACACAGACCTAAAACATTATCACAGAAAGTTACATATTCTCCCACACCCATCATCTACATAAGAAATAGATAAGCGATTGGTTTACATTTTTTTTTTGGTATTATATTTTAGAAAAAAGTAAAAATGTCGACAAACCGACTAACACCATTCAATAAACGTACTATACCTATGAACAATAATACACATTCGATACGTGAGTTCATTAAAACAAATTAAAATAATTTTTTTCTATTTTCGCTTTTGTCTTGCCAGGTGACATACTTGGTCATGAAAAAATTGACCTAACACGTTTGAAAAAGCAAGCACAATTAACTCAAACACAAATTCCGAAAATTCCACGCATAGCACGTACATTAAATACACTTGAAAATGTTTTGAAAGTCTTAGAAGACCATGGTCGAGCATCAAAATGTCATATTGATCAGCTGATACAATCTGTCGAAAAAGAAAATCATCAATTAGCACGAGTAAATTCATTTCATTTTTCAATAAAAAGAAAAAACAACTTCATCTTTAATATTATTTATTTTTTGTAAAGCAATTACATGAATCTCAAGTCGCTTATTTGAAGTTACAAGCTCATACGGCTTCATTACAAAGTTTGAAGGAATGTTATTGTCGGTATGCCCATATGCTTGATGGTGCGAGAACAATGTTTAATGCATATCAACAAACGACAACGAAACGTGATTCAATCGATCAAGTTAAACTTGGCCTCAAAGAGTGCACTCAAGTGAGTTTTAAATTTTAAATTATTCCATTTTTTAATAAAATAGCATTTTTTACACTGTCAAAGTAGTGATTATCAAATAACTAATTCTTAGAGTAATTCCTCAGGTGTAAAGCTGCATTTTGATCAAAATCCATTAGACTAAGATATCTGAATTTTAGCCACTTTACCAATAAGATGTTATGTTCAAATTTAAATTTAAATCTGTACTCGTATCAAAGATATGATGGAAAAAGAGAGAAAGGAAAATGTGGAAAATAAAAATATCGAAAACAAAATTGAGGCCTGAAAATGTGAATGTAACAGTGAGGGTGATGTTTTCAATATTTTTCTTTTCTATCTTTTTCCATCCATTCGTATCAAACGCTTAATTTCATTTGGAAAAATCTCATGATAATTAAAACAACGATTTCTTTATTAACGAAGAGAAACGATTTATTTTATTGAATAGAATATAAAAGTAAAAACAAAAGCATATTAAAGTTCCTATCATTAGAAGATGTTTCGAGTGAATTTATTTCATCTATGTCTTTATACTAACATATAGTTATTACGATTTGATGAAAATAGACGAATTACTGCAATGTTTCGATAAACAATTTTAATTGAATAATGTTCATCAAACTAATCTCTTTTTTCCTTGAAAATGACCTTATTTTCTTATGTTTGTAATGTGATTTCATTAGAGATCGAAGCAGAGACCAGAACATTGCTATTTGTTTACTTGAAATTTAAATAGAAGAATTATTAGGTACATAAACTTTTTCTCTCTATTAAAATATTTTCTCATCTATTTTTCAATCATAATGAAAAATAACATCGATCAGTTTCTAATAATAATAATATTCAATGAGCTTGATAATTGTTTAATCATCAATTAAAATCTTGAAAGAGAATGCTTTTTTATCATTTGATACAAACTCGATTTTATATTATAGTCATGAATAAGCTTTGGTAAGAGTAACATCCATTTGAATCGATTCAAACTGATAAAATATCAGTCAAGAATCATGGATTTCTCAATAACATTTTACTAAGAAGAGCATATTTCGGCAAAACTCCACAGTCATGTGATGATCTGAAATTTCACTTAGAGACACCTTTGATAACCGTAAAAAGTTCAACTAAATAAATATATCTTTTTCGAGATATCCATTAATGAAAAATGCAGCAGTTTGCAATAGAAAGATACAATAGCTAATTAAATCTACTTGAACAACAGTGCAATATATTTGTTTGTGTTTTTGCTTTATGCATTATGAAACACGGTGCTAGATGAAGTTTCCGATCGAAATTCTTCGTTTTGTCTTTTTTGAAAATATCTTGAGGGTTATGCACAAATCCATTTCAGTGACTCTAACCTGAGCGATAATTAATATTCTGAATCTTTTCAATTTTATCTTACACTCACTAAGACCTACCTACTCGTAGTCATAATATGGATTCACGTAGCATCCATTAGTTAGGTACAGTCTCTCTTACAACCAAATTCGTTGTGGTGAACAATATTCGAACTTTTCCTTTTTAATAGACGTTATGTGCAATCGAAGCTCAATTAGAAGCCATGTTAGGTACATTTGTATTAAATTTACAAGAAATGAGTGGCTTTTCTCGCATATGTCCTGGCGATGAATACGAGTTAGTTATCCGTTATGGGCAACAAAAATGGAAAGCGCGTGGTCGAATACTGAAAAATGAGCAAACCTGGACGAGACAAATATTTCAATTGAAAGCTAAACTTGCTGATTTATTATTAATTAAAATTAGCGAAGTTAAGCTATTAGGTGTTTCATTAAAAACAATCGGAACAAAATGTTTTGAAGTTAATAATTTTTATTCAATCGAAACACAACGAATGATAATTAATGCAAATCAAAGTGGAACAATTAAATTAGTTTTTTTAGTCAATTGGGAGTAAGTTTTTGTTTTTCAAATCAAATGAACAATGCAAAGTAGTATCAATAAGACAATCGAGAGATTGAATATCTTTAGCCATAGAGATTTTCTTATGCGAGTTCAACTTTGCAGAGTAATTAGATAAGAATAATGACACGAAACTGCTTCAAAACAATTTCTGTTTAAAGCATCACTCCATTAGTGGTGAAAATAATTTTGCTGTAATCAGCTACATATTTAAAACACTGTCTAATTCTTGATAATCAGTTTAGTTCTAGAAGAAATACGTTTTTTGACGATTCTAAAAGCAAAAATCGAGGACAACATTTCAATTACTAAGAAGACATAGTGATTATGAAAATAATTTTGATAAATAGCCCATGATGATACCTTTTGGTACTTAGAATCATGATGAACAGTTTCATAGTCAGGTTATTTTTTTTTTGAGATATATGCATCGCAACTGAAAATGTACTACAGTTGAAATAGTTTATAAGCTATTTAGAAAAATATTCTTCAGCAGCATAATAGCGACAAAAGTCTCTAAATTATTTATCGTGCTAAGAGGACACTACTATGAATTGTCACAAATTAGAAGTGAGACTTTTTTGTTATTGATTAGATATAAAGATATTTTTATTCTTTTGATAGCGTACCTCTCTTTCAGTTTGTATTTATTCGAAATATCGTTTATGGTTATAAGTTTTTCTGTCTTCAATCAGTATTGTATTGATTAATATATATATATATATTATGCTAGAAGTATTGGGAATATTGAATAAAATTATATCGAACATGATGCATTTATAGTTTCCTACAGATTGATAACATTTATTATTTGATTGAACTCATTAACAATGTGATTCATGCATTGAATGGATGTATCGAACTGCTTTTCTTTTTGTTAGAATTCATAACATATATCCGACAGTCGCAAAGAATATGTTTGATTTTGAACACTGAGCCTCAGTAAATTAACTTCTGAAGATTGATAAAACACATGAAAATGTTGTAGCTTATTTCTTTGAGATTATTAGTTGTAATGACTAACAAAAAGCTGATATGGAACGTTGTAATTTGCATTCCAATGATAACTGTGTGATAGGTTGCAATTGTTAAATAGACGACTCCTTTATTTGTGCTTCTACTTTTTTTTTGAACTTGTCAATTGTAATATTGTAATTATTGAATTCATGACTGAAAACACACGACTTTTTATTTACGCCTACAAACAATTAAAAACTAATCAGAACAGTAGGAATATTATCTGTTGACTTCGTCCTTAGACTTATCCTGTCAAGATATTTTATTTTTACTTTCACTATGAGCAGCTGTCTTAATGCGAAGCAAACAATAGTTGAAAGTAGATGTTATTGCAACATTTGTTTAGAGAACAAGACTTATGTATTACAATGATTATCTAGTTATGCATTCTCATTCACTATTAGAAAGAATCTCCATTCCATGTAATTAAATCATAGTGAGAATATGAAGCTATTAAAAATTACAAAGATTATGATCTTGTCTCTTGTAATTGAATCATTCATGTTTTTTATACGACTATTTACTTTTATGATTATCGGAGACTTGCTACATTCATTATTGAAATCTCTAATATATCTTGATACGTTTTTCTTTTACATAGACTTAATTTAAAACAAGAGAAGATGACATTAAGATAGTTTATTTTTCTTATTTGTTTAGTCTCTATGATCAAGTTGATACAAAATTTTCATTTTACAATCCAAATCGAACATATTCCGATGTAACACGAACATGGTCGATGTTTGTTGGAAATACTACATTACTTCGAACTGTAAATGATACACTTACATCATCAACGTCATCATCATCATCATCATCGGCTCAATATTCAGCTAAACGATTATCAACATTTTGTCCGATAAATTTCCAAGAGAATAATGATTGCACCACATATAATTCTATAACAGACGAAAGTAATCATTATGATGAAATTGATTTAGAAAATAAAAATGAAGAAATACCAAAAGAAGAAGTAATTGGACTGAATTGTTTATTAAAATATAATTGTTTTCTTTTAAATATGTTTAGATGTGTGATAATTTTATTGTTCAGGATGATACTCGTTCTTCATCAAATTCATCATCATTTGCTGCCGGCTTAAATTCTGATGAGATTTCATCAGCAGCATCAAATGATTATTGTCAAACAGAGGAAGAAGTCGAAAATGAATCAATTTTTGAACTCGATTTACTCATTGATCAAGTTCGAACATGTTTAGATGATTTACGTCTTGTCGATCGATCGTTTTCAATATTATTTGATAAAATTGAGCAAATCATAAATGATTTAGATAAAATAATCAAAATTCAAATTCACGAACAAACAGAAAAAACATTAGAAATCGAAAATATACTTGTTGATTTTAATTTTTTAAATACACTTGACGAAGAAGATACATTGAAAACAATCGATTCGGGTTTCGAAGGTGAACAACAACCAATGAAACAAAATGAAAATTTTAAATCAAATTTTAATCAGCCAATGAATACCATTTTTGTCGATATTCTTAATCGGATTTTAATTCTTCTTTATGTAATATTTCTTCTTATTATTATTATTAATCGATTTTATTCATCTATTTCCTATTTTTCATTTTTCAATAGTATATTCAAAATCGTTCCAAATCTGATGATGATCTTATCCTTGAACATCTTAATGATCAATGCGAGCAATTGAATGTGGCTATATCTTGGCGTAAAAACGAAGTAACAGATGTCCAACAAGGTAGATTTTCGTTTTTTTAAAGATTCATTTCAAGAGAGTTTCACTATTAATTCAGAATATATTTAGCTATTTACGGTTTTCAATCGAAAATCATACAGAGAAATTATTACGAAACTTCGCATATATCTCTAGAGTAAAGACAGTAGTGAAGAATTGTAAATGTGCATATTATAGATCTAAATTATCTCTGGATGACATTTGGTCTAAGTTTTATATTTCCGACTATGAATAAATCATCAAGTTTTACTAGTATTAACGAAACAGATTCATTTGAGTGTTACTTCAATTTTTCTTTCAGAAACGTTTAAGGAGAGAAAACTATTGTATCTACGAATAGATTGTTTCTTTACTCATTGTATCTGAGGCAAATGTAATATAATTCGTTGGATTTCTCTGAAAAATAGTTTTTCATCATATTAAACGATGATGATAATTCATGCACTTTGCTAATCTATCTTTTATTTTAACTTTCGATTATTTTCAAGTTAAAGAATGATTAGTGTCGAAGTTAATAAAAAAAACGTTTCCAGGATGTGTTGATTCTACATCTGAAGTAGAAAAGTCATGCAATCAAATGAACATCAATGATAAACTTAAGACATGAGCGACATAATTATTGGAAATAAAATCAAGTATATACATATTTAGAATGGATTCCTGTACTCACGTTACGGAATCATGAAAACATTTCTCTAATCGTATTAATCAATAAAAAATAAGCAGGAATCCGTTCGTTTCAATATATTGAATATTTTCTCGCAAACCATGTTTTTATAATAAAATTCTTGATTTAATTTTTAGCATTATCACAATGTGATCCATCGATTGTTGAGTTTTGGTCAAAATGTTGTTTGAATGACACATTTATTATTTCTTTTGAAGATTGTCTCAGAGAATTAATGAAATATTTGAATTGCAGCCAAAGTAAAAGTTATTCTATTTATTGTACGTGAATATTTCATATTGCATTATTATTTCCCTTTAGATGTTGCCGAGTATCTATTAAATAATCTTTGTTGTTTATCGTTTCGAATGAATTTTGTTCATCCAAAATTGTTGACTCTTATTCAGATTTGGTTTCTTTTAAGGAAAGATCGTTCTGTCATTGAAAAAGATATTCAGATAGCGAATGAGCAAAGTAAATTTATGCAGCAAAACAAAACAACTTTATTGTATTTTCGAACTGTTTTTATTTCTAGTTGAACTTTCAAAAGATCTTTCAAATTTAATTCTAAATAATAATCATAAACAAATTGCCTTGATGCTCAATCGACGCACGTTAAATAATGATGAGATTATAAATCAAATATTAAATGAATATGATTTTAAAATCCCAGGTATATCTTAAAATAATTAATTAATTTAATAATCGAATCAATTTTTTTTTAAATATATATATAGATGAATTGATCGGTATGTTATTAACATCAATTCGTCATGATGTAATATCTCAATTACGTACAGCATTATTATCTCATAATGATAATCCATCTAAGCGTCTTCAAATACATAAAATGATATTTAACGTGCAACAAATGGATTCTCTCTAGTCAGATGAATTTTAAAAAATAAAACAAAAAGATATATATGCTTTTTTCATATTGTTATTTGCTTGTTTTCTTTTCTTGTACGCACGATCCGATTAGAACAGTGTTTGCTTCGTTGTAAATATGACAATAAGATATTTGTTATAATTTCTTTATTGACGTCTATACTCTGATAAGAAATCATTTCTCTTACTTTTTTCTTTTTCTTGATAATAATGAAAGGAAAAAAATAAATATATTTAATAAATAACAAGAAATATTTTGTAGATTCACCATGGGTAAACAAAGTCGTGTAATCGCACAAAAAGCAAAGGATAAACAACAACAACACCATAAAAAACCGAAAGCTGTTAAAACCAATTTAAAACGAGTGAGACATTAATGAGTGTTAATATCAATTCTCAATAAGCTTTGATTTAGTTAAACGAACGAGTACAAGATAAAGTCGAAAAACTCGATAAATTATATGATAAAAATGCAAATCAATCGAGTGAAAAAGTAAAATGAAATGAATTTATTAAATTACTTTTTTGTTCGATTGATTTTATTTTTTAGGAAGATAAAATGAAAACGGCAAAACAAAATAATCAACCAACGGCATCATCGGTAGATAAGAAATAATTTGGTTATTAACATTTAATTGTTATTTGTTTTGTTGTAAAATAAAAAATTTTTCAACGGACACTGTTTTGGCACAAAAGCCGTTGTTCCAATCATCAAGAAAATACAACTTTTCATTAAGACTTTCTCTCTCGTCAATACAAAACACTTTAACTGATGGACTTTGTCTCAAACTGACAATCTCGTGTTTATATGTAAATAAATAAGTACATTGCTTCCAAGGTTTTCAGGTGTATACCTTGAAATAATGAGGTCAACATGATTTCGAAGCTTAAAAAGAAAGTCGAAACATACGTTGTCAAATGATCAAAGCTATTATTGTTAACAGATGTGTTGTTTTAATTAAAATTGATCAAAAAGAAATGTATACTGTTGAAGACTCCAAAAGTTGTATCCTACAGAGCATTTAAGTTTTAGTTCGGGAAACCATGTCTTCCACATGAACACTAAAATTTGTCTACGAAACAGCGTTCACCGAATTACGAAAACATAATTATAAAGTTACTACTAGAACTGACCTTCTGACAAGACAGTTGAAATATTCTCTTTTTTTAACTTTGATTACTCTTGGTGTATTCATTTTATTTCAATTGTTTGTTTTAGCTTCATCGCCTAATATGATATAGCAGACAACGAGAAGAAAATAAAAATACATCATTACGATTAGAAACTATTTTATTTTCTCATATAAAGAAATGCTATTCAAAAAAAGTACTTTTGATCTGTGTAAATTAGTTAACAAATAATCTTGATATTGTAAGTAAATTGATTTACGAATAAAATAATATTACACATTAGATCAGCTACAAAGTAATGCACTACGTATATCTACAATATATGCTTTTTATTTGAATTGCCATCTGTTCTGAAGTATTTTATATCCATTCTGAATAGTGAAGTTAAAAAGATGATTTCAAAAATGACTATATTCAATATACATAGTATAAATTAATCAATACTTCTTTTGCAGAGAAATCTATCTTTTTATTGATTCCAATTTGCTAGAAGTCGATGAATAAAGTTAAAATTTGCTTATTTTTAACATCAGTTCAACAGAGCCAATCGTTTTATTGTAGAATAAAATAATTTTTATTGCAACCTAATTCATTCGAATTTGATAACAAAAAAGACTAATAAATCATGTCGACTCTATGTGTCCTTGAATAGTTGCCGCTGGTGAGTTAGGCGGTCGTAAGCTTTGCATATTAAGGATTACATTTTTATGAGGCATTAAATATATAAAAATCTCATCAAATAATCTATAGATTAATTCATACATATTAGTGCGATATTATTTATAGTAGAATACTACAATTTCATCCGATTCAGAGTCGAATCTGTGTTGATCTTAATTAATGCCAATTTTTTTCTTGATTTCAACATTTTTATTATCATCCACTCAGCTGTATGTATTTCTAACCAGAGAGCGAATCGAACCGACTTTTTCTGATTTGAGTTCGGTTCGGTTCGTCTTTTTTTTTTCAAGTCGGTTCGAGTTCGGTTCGGTTCGAGTGTATTTTTAAAAAATCAGTTCGGGTTCGGTTCGGTTCGAGTACATTTTTAAATAATCGGTTCGGTTCGGTTTGATCGTATTAACATTGCAATATATATTCGATAATTATCAAATTTATTCTTTAATTTTTTATTCACATGACAAGTTGAAATGAGTAGTGTATTGGAACAAAAATATAACTTTTACACTAATGTCAAGATAGAAGTGAAAGAGAAATGATGATAGAGCATCTGTTTGACATTCATATACTATCGTCAATTAGACGAGCATCCGTCCATTCTTTGCAGCGTAAGACAATGGGAGAAAAAAAGAGAGATAAATTAAGAATGTATGACCCTTACAAGTGACCGACCGTCACGAACAGAATGTGTACGTAATATGAATAAGGAACAAAATATTGTACAAAGGTTGAATTAATTACCTAAAAGAACTGATCAAAAGTCTTTTAACCATTGTCAGCAGCATATATTTTTAAGAAATAGATGATAGTGCACCTAATTAGATTTTTTCTACATTGACTTGTATTTATTCATTTTTTCAATATCTTTTTCGAGTTCGGTTCGGTTCGAGTGCAATTTTTAAAAATCAGTTCGGGTTCGGTTCGGTTCGAGTGCATTTTTTAAAAATTGGTTCGGGTTCGGTTTGGTTCGACTGACTTTTCAAAAAGTCGGTTCGAGTTCGGTTCGGCTCGATTCGAACCGAACCGAACCGAACCGTTTCAGTTCGGTTCGTTTTCGCTCTCTGTTTCTAACTATTGATTCAGAAGATAATGCATAAAAAAAATCGATCGATTGATATTATCTATACGTAGCAAAGTAGGGTTTTAACTGTGCTCAAAAGATTCTACGATATATATATCGTAATTCTTCACGATATGAACTAATTCTTTGGAATCTAATAAATTGTTGACTTTCATTCCAATTTAGTTTATCTAAAAAAACAAATGTTCAGAACTTGAAGAAGATACACAAATAACAAGGAAACAGGATAGATTCTAGAGCAACCAACTGATTTTTTAATTCTTATCCTAAAATTAGGATTAAAAGACGTAACGTTATCATCATCGTATATAACCGTGTCAAGATATCATATACAATGAGGTGTTGTGAACACCGTATTTTGTCTTATTTTTGTCATTGACAAATCTTTTCATCCGATCTACGATGATTATAATGAAAAGGTTCAACGTGGTGTTCTTAGCTTCATCCTATTTCGATATTTTGGTGTAGTTATAACATCTCATTTACTCTCATCAAGTGTCTTAAAGACATTCTAAACTTTATAATCATTGTTGGTGATTTTATCTTGCAATACAGAAGTTTTTACTAGCTCGCCACAACTGAATAACTTTATAAATATACGCATAGCATGCGAAAATCTTGGCTCACGCTAATATAAGTTTGACTTACTGTAAATTAGATGAAGTCACAATTGAATTGAGTGTGGGATTGGCGGCTACTATAAACATTTATTCCAAATTTCTAATTCTTTTCATGGATACGTCTGATAAAGCGTTATTACAAAAGAATAAATGAATTTAATCTATCATTATCAAAATTTGCTACTCATCAATTATGATGTCAATCGTATGAAGATCAAAGTTTTGAAACCTAATTTATTCGGTAGTATAACTGTTCATTTACAAAAATATATTATTAGACATCGGAAACATACGTACGTAGCTCAAATTATTTTGCATAACTTTCAGTAATTTTCTGCAATTGACAATTAAAAATAACAAACTGTGCAATATTTCAAATTTATTTATCTTATTATGCGTCATAGGCATTATCATAATGTATATCATATTATAAAAAAATCGAAAAAATTCTTTCACATGTGTACACTGCAATAGGTTGGTATTTTTGATTTAATCACCGGTAAAATATCCTTAAAAGTTAACAATATAATATAATAGACTACAAATGAATTAATGTCTTTACTTTTTCACCATTTTCTTCAAAGATATTCAATGCATTTGTTACTGCATCTCGATGTTTTCTATTAGACATTCGTTTTGCTAACTAGAAGATGAAGTGAGAAAAGATATCTTCATAATTATACTCGTAAAAAACTTACAATACTTAAATAAGTTTTTAAATATTTATCTAATTCATTTCCAACGACTGTACTTAATTGTATTAATGCATTTAAAGCGCCTTCAAATACTTCATCATTCGTTGAACTTAATGCTAATTTAATTGGATTAACCAATTTCGGTAGCAGTGGTACGACTTTTGCTCGTGCATTGATATTTGACATAAGTTCTGTAAAACCTTGTCGACTTACAAATGTAAGTGGATGTGCTGTTTCACGCAAGCCTTCTGCTAATAGAACAAGCACAGGGTCATAATTTAGGTCATCGATGGATGTATTCCATGCCAAACGATTTCGAACTGAACCATGTACAAGCCGACATGGAATCCGTCCCGATGTAAATGCATTCAAAAATGGAGAACCACTAGTAGAATTTGAATTCGAAAAGGGATCGATAGTTTTTGGACATAGTTTTGCTGATGGTCGATTAAGAGATGCAGCCATTAGTCACGAATGTATGCCTGTGTTTCGTCGCTAGGTGAAACAAATCGATCTCGTTCTTCTTTTCTTGTTGCTGCGTTTTTTTTTATCTTGTCAAAAGGTGTCAGTAGTTTCTAACTAATTAAAATGTTTTTTTTTCTTAAATTGTTAAAGATAGGTAAACATTTAATTTTAATGAGTGATTTATTATATATTACTATTAACCTTTGGTTTTCAAATTGTGAATAGAATACATTTTAGATTCAATCTTCCGATGAAAGCTTATAAAAAAAAATAATATTGATTTTGAATTCTTTGACATTTCAACATAGAGACAAACGAGTATGCTTGGAATATTTTTGTTTTTCTCTTTTCGTTAAACTACTTGAGATCATAGTGAACTTTTTCTTTATTATATAAATTTGATCTATATATTTTTATAATTCAAAAGTTTTGAGAGAAAAAGAAAAATTCATGCCTTATCAATAATACTTGAATAAAAATAAAAATACCTGACTTTTTCTCTTCATATGAAAAATCCATTTAAATGAAGTGATATCATGCAAAAAGAAAAATCTAAATCATGCACATACGCCATTAATCATGTAAAAACATTTGTGAATCTGAGAGCCATAAAAATACGTCGTATTATTATTTGTCATAAATACTACATATTGGATAAGTACGATGAGTATGCAGAAGTACATCATGTGTTTTCTCTCTCATCATCAGTATCGATGCATTTTTACGACGAATATATAAATGAATCGCAAGTTGTGCGTAGTTACTTTTCTTTTCTTTTCATTTGTATATTGTAGATAAAGACTGAAAAGTCTATTGTCTCTTCACATCTGTCCAATATGAGTCAACTTCTCTTATGACAGGTGGTTACATAATAGTTTAAAACTTTATTTCGTTCCAATCTCTAATACTTAAAACAGAAATAACGACAACTGAGATTGAGTAAAATAAAATCAAGTAATAGCTAATTCTCCGAGTAAAACACACCTCGGCAATCGTTTCTCTTCTTTCTCTGTTGTTTAGCAACAGGAAGCGAAACAACATGAATAATACGGTAAATTCATAACAGTTCCATGTCAACCTTTTTTCATATAAGTAGAAGGAAAGAGAATAGGTGTGCCACAGTTCTTCTACATATATATATGTGCGTATGTGTGAATCAATGAATGTATTATATTTCTCTTCAGATTTTTATTTATTACGTAATGGTGACATGTGTTGCTCAACAATCTTTATCTCAATTACTACCAGTTATTTATCCACCGCAACTTTACTTGACTACGTATGAGTCAGAAATGTCATCGATTTCAAGTCGTAAAAGGCTTTTAAATGAACAACATGATCATTGCACATGCCCTGTGGACTATGCCCACGATTGTAATGAAACGAATAAAAGGACAAAGACAGGTAATTGCGTCATGTTAAAAACCGAAAGAAAAATATGATGATGGTTGTTTTCGACACTATACTCGTTCTTTCTCCTACGTTCGCCCACATTCCATGCATTATTATTTCATTTTGTATATTTACTCTTTTGTTTCTTTTCAACCAATAGAATTGCTAATTCATGAATCAAGCAGTAAATATCCAAATCATCGGATAGCACGTTCTGCGCCTGGATTTTTACGACGTAAAAGCCTTACTCATGAAAAATTTACCTATATAAAGAATGTTTCGTCTGCAAAAGCGAGCAACCCTTTTTTATCAACCTTATCAACAACAACAACAGAAACGATTGAAAAAAACATGCTTATGTGCCAACACACAACCTCACTTGTTATACATAATGAAACGGGTAAAAGTATCGATTCAAGCTTTGTAACATGCCCTCAATTAGCTGCCTATGTGACAGCTACTATGAACATTACCGATCGAAAAGTATTAGTTATTGATTGTGGTTCACCGTTGCGTCATACCGAAAGACGAGTTCACGGTTCAATTTTATTAAATGTTAATGATAGGATATCTCGAAAACGATTATCAACTCGTGGCTTGAAAATTTTTTTGGATAGTAATCAATTACAGCGCTTAGATAGCAACGATATTATTATTTTATATGATGATCATATTCGTCCATCGGCATGTGCTAATGAAACAATTCAATCACAACTTGCACCATCAATGAAGTGTGTATATGATGAAATAAAACGATATGATACAAATAAAATACTCTGTATTCTTGAATCACCATTTGAACAATTTCTTCAACACTATCCATCACTATGTTATGTAAGCACATCAACAGACGAAGATCTTTCAATGGAAACACCATTGACATCTAAACCAGCAGATATTGAATCCTATCCAATATCGGAAATAATATCGGGACTTTATCTTGGTAATTCACGTGATGCTGAAGACAAGAATTTATTACAACAAAATCAAATCAAACTTGTCATTAATATATCAACTTCAATCCCATGTTATTTTGAAAACGAAAATGCCTTCGAATACATTCGTGTACCTTGTCATGATTCATCGAATCAAAATATTCTTCAATATTTTGAAACAACATTTGAATATATTCATCAAAATTTATCTGTGCAGAAAAACATTCTTGTACACTGTCAAGGTGGTGTAAGCCGTAGTCCATCATTTATTATTGGCTATTTAATGAAATATCATTCGAAGACATTTGACGAAGCCCATCAGCTTGTGAAAGATAAGCGATCTATAATTAATCCGAACTTGAACTTTCTTGGTCAATTGACGCAATATGAGAAATTGTTATCCAATGCTTAGTTGCATTTGTCTTTCAATAGATCTTCTTTTTAATTATGTATAGAATTTTTCGTTTTGTACAGTGCTTGTCAGATGCTGTATGTTTTTGTAATGAATAGTAATGAAATGTCATATTCAACTATTCCTCTATGTCAAATACATGCGTTTGTATCGGCGACTTGCTAATAGTAATCATAAAGTTTTCATTTATTCTTATATTTATTCGTTAAACAGTGTGAAGTAATACAAAACATAATTCCGACAGTATAAACTAATCCGTTTTCATCAAAATTTTGAGATGCATCTTAGCATGTAAATTCAAAATTCGTGTAGCACATTTATTGAATTTAGATAAGCATGATATCTTTTTTTGAAAAAATATTTGCATAGTCAATATTATACGCGCCTGTGTCAACAGCTATCACTGATAATCAAAAACATTTCTTTTTTGCGAGCATGATATATTGGATTAGATATATTGACAAAGTTCTTCTAATGAGACCTCTAACAATTGGAAAGAATCCGTTATCGAACCAAATTTTTGAAAAATAAACTATAGCCAGTTTCGCAAAATTCTAACTGTGATTAGTTTAATTTATATCAATTAAAATGTGTCTGTTTCGAAAATTTTATCAAATTTTAATTATGAAAATAGCTGCCGAGAGACAAAATTGAAAACTCAGGATCTTGTAGAGTTGTCTGCAAAAATCCGTATTATCTATTAAATTGGGCATATTTTCTAAACTATCATTCCTGATAAAGCAAATATTTAATGCCGAGTTAATATTATCAGCTAGTTATTATTCATCTGTAAATGAATTGCTGGATAGAAATATACTTACATAGGATGAATAATATTAATCAAACATGTTACTAATAAATGACGTTCGATTAAATAATTCTTTTTCTCAGATCAATAAAAAGGTATCATCGTTGTGAAAATGAAATTTTGAATGATACTAAGATCGTGTCAATCAAGTTCTTAGAACTATTTCTCAAAACAAAAAAAATAATGTTATGATAACATTTTTTATGACTGTTTACTGTTGGTTTTTTTTTTCAGTTCGATTAAGTAACGCTTCTTTCAAAGATGCTTAACTTTTCTATCTAAACTATTTTTCTATTTAACAAGCATGCTTTATCAATATAAGCTGATCATGCGTTAGAGACATATTCTATATAATAAAGCATTTTTTCTTATGAAAAAAAGATTAGTAATCGACTATCTATTGAACAGAATACTTCATATGTTTAACGCGTACACAAAACAATTGGGAATGATTGTCGTGACAGTATGGAACAAAAGCAATGAAAAGAAAAATATTAATACATAATGACAGTGAAAATAACTTCTTCTTCATGTTATTCAATGTTCTTTGCTAGTTGCATGATAAATAAAATACGTCAGTCTAGAATTCGATTAGATTATATGTTGTCGCCTTCTTTGGTTTCATCGTCATATTTATCTTCTAAAACAGCGTTTCATATTAAATGAAGATTATTTTCTTCTTAAATATAAGTTAATTTCATAAAATTAACAAGTTCAAGAAGCATATTCAATTTCTAGTTATCATATTTTTGACATTGAAATATAACTATGAAAATATGTTTCATGACTTTTATTGCGCATGAATGGTTGACTAATACTTCTTGCTACTTGAGTCATATCTTAAGACTCATCAGACTGGTAGCACTTAATATGTCTTCTGTTGATTTGTTAAGGTCATTCAAACCTTCTTATGTAACAACTGAGATTTTTTGTCCATTTTAGACAGATCCATACGCTGTTGTAACAATAAATGTTGCTTAGCAAGTAGCATTGATTGCTTATATACTTCTCAATTGTAATAGATTTGAAAAGATAGATTTGCTAACTGATCGATGTTTCATAAATGTACACATTCTTTATATTTATACATCCTTTAATATAGGAGCTCATTTGGCAAAATATTTCAAAATGAAATCAAAAATAATTTTATCTACAATCAATAGATTCTTTGGAAGAATGAACCAATAATAATCATTCACAAAGCAGTTCTAAACTCATTTCAATCTTTTCATTCTGTAATTCCGTTATTTCACTCGAAACAGCTTCATCAAACTTTGACATCAGAAGATTCAACTTCAACTGAATGACAATTCTAAGATCTAGTCAATCTCACATATGACATTATCTGACTTGTTCTACCTTATTTTGATTTAAAGATTACAACTTTATACAGGTTTACCTAAACACTATGGTGACGAATAATGGAGCGTTTGAGACATGATTAGAATTTGCAGCATCATTGCCTGTACGGTTCTTAGCAATGAAAATATGATTGTAATAATGAAAAAATTACTACAACACTAACAAATATTAGTCTAGAAATACTTCAATTATCTACGTAAATAAATTTCTACTTCTCACATCATCTTGATGTCATCGATGCTCATGAATCTAGGCGCATCATAGCAGAACATGTTCACATGTATTATGTTGTAAATACGATTTATGTTAATCTATATTTACTCAACTCGATAATCTTTTCTTTCAAATGCAGTATCACTTTAAATATTTTAGTTCGTAACTAGCGAGTATTCTTATCTTTACATAAAAAGTTAAACACTAAAATATTCTCTTACTTGGATTTTACTCGGTGTTATATCGATCTAGAATATAAAGCATTCAGTTTAGTATAACATATAAATTTCTGTTGAATGTAGCAGCTTGCAAAAACCGTTATGCTATCACTGCATCAAATATTCTTATAAATTTCTGAGCGTCAATCGACATCAATCATTAAAATGTGAATGTGTTCGTTACATTCGTGAGATCATAAAAAGAGTTTAATTTTTCACCAGTTCAAGTATTTATTATAATATTAAATTAAATTAAATTAAAGTCACTTATATTATTTCGAAATGAAAAGAAACTATCAAATTTAGATAGACTATATAGAAATATCAATTTTTTAGAATACTATATTCATACAGAAGAATATACGTATATGATAGATAGATTTGATTTATTTTTGTTTAATTTCTTCATTGATGTTTAGTGACAAAGTGATAAGAACTTTCATCAAAATACAAATATTTCGGTGGGCAATTGAAACATTTTATATCTATTTAAAAAAATAGCAAAATCAAAAGATAAAAATAATCTATCAACAAACCTTCACGTGGATATTTAACCCACGAAGGAATTTGGCAAGAGGAGCTTTCAAAGTTAATGCATGATGGACAATTAAATTGACGTTCTGGTAATGTCACAATACCATCTTGACAGTTTTGTATGAATTTGTCTAATTTATTGTGATGTGATTTAGAATATTTGTTTTCCATATACTTCGTACCATTGTTAGACGACATGTGTTAATCGAAAACAGTAATATATGAGAAAAAGTTACAAAACAAAACAAGACAACAAAAGAAACAAGTGAAACCTATACATAAAAGCGCTCAAATCATATCATAATCTATTTATTATTTAAAAAATCACATTGTAAGTAACTAAACAAATTGTTTTAATGATCTACATGTAGAACCAATTGCGATAAATCCTAATCTCCATTATAATTGATTCGAATTGATATTTCAGAGCAATACAAAAAGCTTATCTTAGAAAGCTGGTTGTTTAGTATGATAAATTTTTCTAATCATTATTTATATTCGCTCTTATATTCTTATCGATACAATTAAAATTCCTCGTTTTTTTTATTTCTCTACTATTATATGAAATGATTTTGATGTTTTATGTTCGATATAAAGTTTGCAAAGGAAAATATGTTTTTCCTTGTACGTCAATGTGAATATTGCCATGTATTGATGAGATAATCAATATAAACGTGCTTGAAAATTTTGTCTTCATCACTGAGGAATAAAGAAATAAAAGATGAGGCGAAATGATGAGAAAACAATGAAGCATCTGGTAATCAATGATTGTACTCTGAAACATGTGGCTATTAGAAAAGCGAAACTTGCACGCAGTTTGCATTTATATACAGCATATAATCGCAGAAAATACACAAATTAAAATTAAAATTAAAGGCTCAAACGTTTCTCACCACACTGACAACAAAATTTCGCCCAATCAACAGGAAATGCTATACCACATTCGTGACAATGTTTCGCTGCTGTGGTTGCTCGGGTTTGTTGTTGCTGTGGTACATCACTTACTTGTGATGTTCGACGTGCTGGACTTGGTGATCGTGTTTTCACTCCTGGTGTACGTCGTTGTAATTGTGGTGACGCTTCAGCTTTTTGTTGTCCTCGTCCAGTTGCTGCCAAAACATTTAAATCATCGTTTTCCATAGTTCGACCCGTACGCATCATACCGGGTAGATAAGCACCTGCTGCACTACGTATTTTAGTTGTTCGATGGCTACCAGATTTAGGTGGTGTGCCATTTATATTGTGTGTTGATGTCTAGACATTAAATTATGAATGACATAAACATTATGATTTATGATTTAAAGATAATCTACAGAGATAATAGTTTTTAGTCAAGTTATGCAAATACTGATGAATGTTAGCAAAAACAAATAGATGCGGATCTATAGAAATAAAAATATGAAATAGCAACACACAACCATTCATATGAGTATTCAACTTGTAACTGTACTATGCTATCAATTGTTAGTTTCTAGTCCTAATTTTAAAACAAAAGGAATCTAAAAATACTCGGTTAACCATGAAATAATTTAATATAATTTAACTGGAAATGGCATATGAACAATATTGTATGTTCATTTGATATTTTTATTAATACTGTTGAATGTTTAATTTTGTACTCATTTTCTATAGATGTATAACTTAACTGAATCAAAAATCTCTATAGATTATGTTGAAACAGGCAATCACATTGAATATCTCATTGATAAAATGATTGCTTTTTTGAATTATCTTTTTTTTTTCGTGTTAAATACCTCACCAAAATTGTTTTTTTTAAATGTATTTGGATTTAATCGTGGCCTTCGATAATCTTTTTCACCGTTGGTCCTAAAATATATTTCTTCTCGTGTAAATCTGACAGAAAAAAAACACTTTGTATTAGTTACTTTGGAGGACGTCTCGACGCAAAAGTAGAAGGTGCTGAATTGATTTGATGTTGTTTATTAGCACTTCCGCTAGGTGTGTCAAGGCCTGAAATTCTATAAGTAGTTTTCTTTGCAAACCAATTTCTATTGACTTACTAAACTGTTGTTGATATGCCTATATATCAATAGAACAATAAGGAAAGTGTTGTTTTTTAATTTAATATCGATGGAAAACGTACGTGTCCTTGTCGACCTACACTACCACCAGCGGTTCGCCCATTATTTGCTGCTGCCGATTGCATCTGTTTTCGTTTAAATTGAGTTTCACAACTGAATATGAATTAAAAGCTAGTCGAAATAGTTCAATAGAATATTGAAAACAAATCATACAATGGAATGTGTCGTTCAGCTGAATGTTTATTAAAATGACGTTGACAAAAATCACATTGAACATAGTCACTAGGAATTTGTGATGGTGTTTGTTTTGGTAATGGAGCACCGGTTTCCATGGCTTGTGTTATTTGTCGAGCTTCACGAATTGTACGTACTAATGCATTATGTCCTTCTCTCCAATTGCTTGGCCTTTTCTTTTGAATCTCCTGTTTAGGTTTAACACCTTCATAGTAAAACTAAAATTTGTTACGAATCGATTAAAAAGGTTAATTTAAAACAAAATTTTGAAAAAATGTCTTGTTTTCTTTTCTTGAATATTTATCAAACCTGCGTAGTTTCTTTGGTTGCTGCGTAAGGCACATCAGAGTCTGTGGCACGTTGTTTACCCATATCGAACACTTTTCGTGGTTGTTTTTGAGCAGTTTTTTTGCAAATTGGTTGATGTTTACGCTAATGATTTAGGAAACAACAAAATGAGTCATTTTGTAAATTTATTTATTTTTAGTAAGAGAATTCTCTACCAAAGATTCTGCATTGAAGTTACGACCGCAGTTTGAACATGGAAAGAGTTGTACATCGGCATAGACAGGAATCGATATATCATCGTTTATTTCATAGGAGCCGTCGACGAAGCCGTTCTTGTCTACTCCGTACATGTCACTGTCGTCGTCCATCACGTTGCATAGCACAGAGCTCTTTATTGTTCTTTTTCTCTTTTCTAGTTCTGTTTCATTCCGGTAGACTTTGAAATCTTTTCTTTTTCTTCTGTTATTGTAATAAAAAAAAGCATAGGAAAAACGTAATAACTTCATTTTCTCGCTCACATGAGAATTTATTAGAAGAAAGAGAAAAAAAACAAATTCCATCTCATTTTAAACAACTAAAAAGACACGAATTTTGTTTAATAGATGTCTCTTTTTTACGTATATTATCATGACACGAAAGATTTATCTATCAATTTTTAATACTTCGCAATTGTAATTATCACTTCTTCAGTAACAGATAATTATAAAACGTTTCTCTTTTGAAAAACTTAAAACGGCTTTGCATTCGAATGATTGAACATTGCCATCTACTATATATTTCAATAGTTTTAGTTAGTATGATCAACTACAGAATCACATCGCATGCAATGATTGTATACACTGAATGTAGTTGTATATTTTTCATGCTCCTCATAGAAACACTGTTTGATGGATTCGATTTAAGTCTGATTTGAATCCAATATTGATGGGAATTCTTTTCGTCACTTTAGATTTATTTGATTTTTCGTTGAGTCGATTCCCAATTTTGTTCTAAGTAAATTTTTATTTGAATGATAGATAAACGACTGAATCCCAAATGATGTTACCATTGACAGAACTCTCTTTATTTCTTTTCCGAATGAGCTAAGAAATATCGAATCATCATCGATAGCTATAGTAAAAACTATTAATAATAGTACATTATCAGCTTAATTCGTAGTTCATGTAATAAAAAATAAAAACCTTTTGTATTGAGGTTCATATCGATACCCGTCATTCATTCGCTTTCTGCCCAACATTATAATCCATTTGTGAAAGTATATTTATAGTAAAGGGCATTTTAAATCTCAATAAAAATAATTTTCTTTTTAATTTTCTTTTTGTTCATTATCAACGCACCAATAAAATAAATTCAAAAAGTTGCATGTTCAATTAAAACAAGAAAAAAGGATTTTATTTTTGAATAATACAATTTGTTCATACAAAAGACGTCATTTAAAAATATCATAAAATAGTCTCACCCTACTTGTGTTTATTGTAAGTCATCTATTATTGTTATTAGACGTAAGCGAGTCGTTAAGATATTTGGTTCACTGTCTGAACGTTGTTTTGGATGATGGTAAGTTGATGTTGGAGAATCGATATGAATTGGTATGGTAGAAATATCTCTATTGGAGGTTGTTGGAGGTATCGTAAGTGTTTGCCGAAGATGACATAGGCCATCGTAAAGAGATGTTAATTGTTCTGTCAATTCAAGATCATCTTGACGCATACGAATCTATACAAAAATATTTTTAACTACAGAGATTTGTAATTTGTATAGATTTCGTTGATACAATTTATTTTAGAAAAATAATCAATTATCAATTCATTTTAGATCTAGAAAGAATATTGTTATCGTTTTCTTTTCTGTTGATGTTTGATAAGCACTTGATAGCAATTAATTTTTAAGTGATAGATAGATAATCCTGTATATGGCTCTTCTATTATAATAAATATAGTCCATGATAGATCAACTTAATTTCGTAAAAAAAATCTTCGATTAGCTTATCTTTGAGTTGGGCACATATCTTATTTTTAAATAGAATTTATTACTAACAATAAAATTTTTCAAAAATATATTAACGACTTTCGAAGAAAATATGTATAAAGAAAGCATCTTCTGACCTTTTTGCAAGCCTTTTAACCATCATAAGGATATGTAAACAAGATCACAAAATAATACATACTAGTTGTTCGTATATTTGTTCGATCAATGATGATATATTGTCACCATTTGTATAATACTGTTCTTGTTCGAGGAGGTTATCATTATGTTTTTCTGGTTGAGCCATTTTATTTATTAAGATACAAACATAAAGTTTTGGTTTGCTAGTTAGAGTGATTTCTGTTGTTGTTGTTGTTGTTTTGTTCTTGATTGTTTCGTTGTATTACCGTCACTTCTTCTCTCATCTGGCTTTTATTCTTGCCATCGTTGTCTCTAGAACTCAATCAACACGTATATACTAAACAATACAATTGGCTCGCCTCGCATATACGTACACAGAAATACGCACTCGCTTTTCGTCGCATCTTCTTTTTTTCTTTCTGTTGTCTCAATATGTTGTACATTTGTCGCCGATGTGTTATGTACGCGAGAAGGAGGGAATCGAAGATTACATCTGCAAGCAGTCATTTACAATGCCTTTTAATCGACCAAGACAGAGAGAAATGAGGAGCATGTGTGTATTCGTGTAATAATACTATTAGCAACTATACATTCTATTTTTCCTCTTGTTTTTAAATTGAAAGACATTGATTGATATGTCAATCAAGAATTAGATGTATTTCTTTTCAATTTTTCAATTTCATGATATGAAGATGATTCAACTGTATTGATTGAATATGTTATTGAGATCATTTATCTTCGATGTAAGGAGATAATCTAGAAACTGAAATGTACCTATGAATCTGTCGTACTGTAGTGTAGTTACAATGATAACTTGATAAGTATGTTTCAAATGACAGTTTATGAGATTAAAAGGGTCATCTATAGTAATTATGCTTCGAGTTAAACAACAGCTTAGCTTAAATAAAAAGAAAACACGCTATATAATTATTTAGTTTAACTAGATTGTTCTTCAAATCTATAGAAATACAATGGAATTTTAATATGAATGAAAAATTTATAAGTAAACCTCAACATATAAGTATAGACAAAGAAAAATCATATTCTATATATTATATGTACTATTTGATTCAATATACTGATCATATATAAATATATTATTTCAGAAAATATGGTGTTAGCGACAATATCTTTATAATTCATTAATGAAACGCAAGTAAATTTTGTTTTGAGAGATGAGTAACGAATTAAACTATGTAACAATCCATGACAACTAACCTAGATGTTTGATTTTGTTTCTTATAGAATGTTTTTCTTTATTGAATAATAAAATTACATTTTTAGATAGTCATGTTCCAATAGTATGCATTAGCATTCAAAAACATTTGTAAGTAACCAAGGGAAAATTTTAGACTTCTATATACCTCCAGGGGCCGAGGATGGGAGAGACATTGCTACACCTGAAAATGCCTATAAACTGTTCATTTTATTTAATTAACGTTTAGATACATATGCTACTCAATGGATCTGTCTAACCAGTTAATATCGAATTAAGTATATCGACTATTGTTGAAATGTTACTTGCTATTTTGGAGAGTAGAATTTTTCAGAATATGCATATTAAATTTTGTCTGTAACTTTCAGTCGAGATTTTTTCAACTGCTAGTTTTTGATAGAGAAACTCTCATTACAAACATTTACTATTGGTTACCAGTAGACGTGACTGATAAAATGGTTGCTATGGTTGTTTGTTTCGCTTCGAAATTTTTTTAACGCTATACACCACTATTAACTAATTAAAGTTTGTTGTATTTTAAGACTGTAAATGTAGTTACGCCTTAATAATAGTAAACTTACTTGTGTTGTACATGGATACGTGGAAAAACAATAAGAATATTATTATTTTGATTCAGCTTTTTAATATTTCACTGAAATTTTAATCTATTAAATCTTCTTAACATTATAATATTTCTTAGAAATTAAATAACGATAAAACGCTATCTATGATGCTTTATTGATCGTTAAGTTGATTTATCGCCATTACATTTTATATCGATAAATTCTTGTCATTTATTGACATGTTTATTTTCTTTGACAACGCAGATTGAAATAAACACGAATGTTTTTCGATACGAACAAAAGTGTAATATTAATTCTAGATGAGTGAAGATCCTATTTCAAATGACAGATTGTCACCGATGGAATTTCAAGCATAGATAAAAAATTATTCAACGAAAATTAAGACATTCTCCGTAGTACAAAACATCATTAAATAAGCAAGTCAATAAGTAAATAATAATATTTTAATATATTGCTCAGTCTACTAATTGTAATCTTTTACATCTCTATTTAGTATATCAAGTATATAGCTACGTAAAAGATACCGCCAGTTTACTGATATGTTCCAAAAAGAAACATAAATCCCTGCAAGTCGAGTTCTACACAATTAATTTTGATCATTTTTTTCCTTACTCGTTTAAACGTAGTTATCAAGGGATAAAAGCTGACCCTGTCGTTTTCTAGTGAATCTTATAAATTCGATGACTCCTTTTAGAACCTGTAATCCAGCATGATCCACGTTGGTCAAACTGTACGATAACTATGTTTGCCATTCATAGACAATAAAATATTCAAGGTTTAATCTTTATTTTGCATCAAATATTAATAAATTGTTTTTGTCAATAGATTTGAACTTAATTATTACATTTTATTGTTTTTGCTCTTCCTTGAATTTAGCAAGATGTTTTAGAAAAGTTTCAATACGTTTCGATAAAATAGCATCATTCATTGTTTGTTGATTTCTATAAAAAGTTTTCAATTGTAATTGTTTAGCTGTAATAAGTGCTGTTCGTGCACGTTCGATTTTTGTTTTTGTCATTGTTGTTTTTATTTCGCGATCATTTGGATCATAGTTTGGTACTTTACCAGAACGAACTGCTAATTTCAATTGTCGATAACGTTTAGCAAATATAGGATCATGAATAAAATGTTCTTCAATTATATCTGGTGTAACGAATGCTTCGATTTCTTTTTGGCGTCGAATCGATGCGAGATATTGTCGGTCGACTTCAAAATCAAAATGTGGTTTTAATGATTCCTTCTTTTTGGTAATGCGATGTTCAGTACGCCAAGCTAAAAATTCTTGACGAGCGTCATCTTCACTTTGCAGAGCGAAAACTTTTAGTCTAACAGGCCATGTTACACGATGATTAAGTGATGGCATACTTGATGCTATTGCGCCAGTATTGTCCATAGGTAATTCAGATGGATTTTGAGCAGGTTCTGCATTGGCAACAGCAAATGGTAAACGAGCATTCAAACTTTTACTTGATGTTACACGTAAATTAGATATTGGCATTCCTTCATCATCGTCGTCACTGTATGTATCATGATGATCAAACGTTTGAAAAGGTGCCGTATATGATTGAGGACGTACTGTTGCAGATTTTGCACGAGATTGATTACTGTCACGATTAGATCGAGTTAAATCTGAACGAATACCACGTGCACGTGAACGAACATGAGGACCGGCTGAATGAATCTAAATATAAAATGCTTTCAATTTCACTGAAACTTAATGAAATAATATAAATTCTTTTCTAATTGAACTAGTCTTAATTACTTACTCGTACACCAAACCTATAGAAATCTTTTGGCTCAGCTAAACCGATTGGCTCATAAGACGGTAAAACTATAAGACCACTATCGACAACAGATTTTTTTTGTTTTAAATCAGTCAATATATTTTCTTTTTGTAGCCTCTGCATTGATTGTTCGCGTTTATGTTCACTTTGGATTGTTGATAAAACAAATTTTTGTCGATTTGCTTCAACTCGATTTCGATAAACTAGTTGTCGATCATTAAATACTTGTCGTATAATACGAAAACGAACTTTAGTCAATGTTTGATGTGTAGGCGATGAGCCAGTTGTAGCAGCAATTTTCCGACGACCAAATAAAAGTAAGTTAAATGACTGCGACATTTATCTACGAACTTTCTTTCTTTTAAATGTAACGAATATAATAAATGATGAAACTATGAAATTTTCATTATTTCTCATCGAATGTTGAGATTTTTGACAAACCTATTCAGCATGACGATTTACTCACTACATGAGGTCGGACACGACGATGGTATGAGAGTAAAATATTTCATAATAAACATAGCTTTCGAAATTGAGACATTATAATTGGAGAAGAAAATAATATTTGATGTTATGGGCGTTTTAATTTTTGCCTTTGTATAATTGCTTCGTGTTTTTTAAATAAAAACCAACGGTAGCGTTGATTTCTTTTCGTTAAATTCTTTCTTTATGCATTCAACAATATTTTTTCTTTTCTTATTTAAGCAAGAAACTAACTAAATTTTAAGAGATACTTAATAGTAAAAAGGAGAGATGGAACAAGTATACGAAACAAAGAAACCTTCCTTCTTGCTTTCAGACACACACACACACACACGCACGCATCTAAATATTAACTAAATTGAAAATAGAATAATACAAAATAATAAATTCAAATCGAAATTTTACCTTTCTTTCAATCAAAAATTCGTCTATGTTACGAGTCACTGTTTGATTATAGTTTACGCGTTTTCTATATTCATGCATCGCTGCTTGTAGATTACACGCATTCACACTATGATGGCCATGATCCCTTTTATTAATAAGTTTAAGACGGTTATATTCAACATTATTAAGCATTGTTGCATTGTATTCATTTTTTGTTAATTTAAATTTTGTTAGTAAACCTGTACCATGATCATTATTATCAGTATGACTGAATTTTGAAGATATCGGCATTTTGCTTTTTTTATAGACGTTTTAGTTTTTAAGAAATCAATTTAACAATTGGAAATGAAATAGAAAAAGAAAGTGACAATACTAGGAGACGTCAAGAGAAAAACGAGTACAGGTAAATGTAGCGACGAGTAAATGCTAAACTGCTTGAGGGCACTTGAATTCATACCATGATATGAACAATCACTAATGTAAACTTAAAGAATACTATTTTCATTGGTTTGACAGAACAAATTTGACTAAATAAACGTATGCATGTAAAAGGCCGAAGCAACCATAAAGAGTTATGACATAACGAAGTGAAGTTTTGATTTTGAAATGTTCTTCTGCGTATGAAGATTCAAAAACAAAAGACTAATTGTTTCTTCTTTGGAAAATTGGTATTCGTGCTATTAAGAATAAAAATAAATAGATTAGATGTAACATGAGAGAGTTTTGCTTAGAGATTCGCTAAATAAATAAAGTTAAATGATCGTTGAACAAATATAAGTGGTTTGATTAGAGTTTTAAAATAAAATGATCGTATATTCTTTGACTTTTCATTCAATATAACTTGATTAAACAAAAGATGTTCAGAAAAGCTCATTGAAATTTTTTTCTTATCGATATATGTTGATGACAATCTCTCATTCTACGCTGAACTAAATCTTTGAATTGTGATATCGATATGAATTTGAATTTGAATGATAAATTTCTTGGAAACGCTCATTCAAATGAAAAATCACTTCGTTGAATACACATATATTCTTGATTTCGCCTGTCTGCTAGCATTGTTGTCAAAATTTAATAAAGTTTCACTCAATTTTGAATAGAATCATTATGATTTATGATTCGATAATGTAATTATTGTTGAAACCAAATTTGCAACTGATTGCAAATAGCTGAGGAGATCTTGATCATCAATGTTGAAAAACCTTATAGTGCGTATCGAGTGATGATGAAACGAGGAAGTTCAGGCACATCCGCGAACATTTAAGCAACCCTTGCTCTCAAGTCGTTATTTATATTGCGATTCTACCTAATATAAGATCAAGTGCAATTATTTAAATATTATTCATATGCATTTATGAACATCACACTAAGAGTACCTATGTCTATCGTATAATCATATATGAAAATCAGTTTTCAAATGAACCCCTTTGTTAATATATTTTATTAGAAGAAAAAAAACAGGATAAAATATCAACACCAAATGACAACATAATAAGGGTAATTGCTCGATTCCAACATTTTGGAATGTATTTATTGTTATCGATAATAATAAACTTAATGTGGTTGAAGTTGCCACTAAAAAAAATAATTTCAAAAACATTATTATCTTTCTTCGATAATATGAAACATATTATGTAAATCTTCAGTTTGGACCATTCTGTTTTCTTTGTATTATAAAGATCATGTTTATAACAAGTAAGATACTATTGTAATGAGTTTGCTCATGCCTTGAATGATCTATAGATATTTCTCATAGTTCTGGCGGTCTAAATAATTCAATGTTTTGATATACTGATAGTGTGTCTACTAGTTATGAATTAATTACTAAGATAGTCATTCGAACAAGATAGTGAATAGTAATAATCTATTTCGTATTATGATGAAAAGAACATGAAAGAGATGGTAGTCTAAGATCAAAAAATTGCTTAAACGATTGTTAGCTGAATTATACAATAGTGAACTAACGAAAGTTGTCTATTTACAATCGATTTATTGCTAATTACCAGTCAGTAAAGTTACAAAAATGCAACTTAACTGTGGAAATTTCTTTGCTCGTCCAGCATTCAAGAATAACTAGTCATTGTTAAGAAATTGACTATGAGCATCCCGTATAGTTTGGCTTATTCTTCCTTAGTTCAATCAAGCGTAATGTAAGCAATCGTATGATTTCAATATGTCGTCCAGTTCATGGTTTTCTCATCAAAATACGACATACACAATTATCCGCATTTATCTAGATCTAAGAAGTATTGCCTTTATTCTAAACGCACATTAAGCAGTCATACTAAGTATATTATGAACTAACACATCAAAAATTAAAAATTAATCTTTGTTGTTTTTCAAAGTTATCTATACAGAAATAAAATAACTTGAACTGAGGACTCATATATCCCTATGGTTTTACCTAGGCAAGACAAGAGACATTCGGCGAGAAATAGTTCATCATTTCAATATCGCATGATGTATATCTTGGAGCATTCAGGTTGGCTTGGCCAAATTGAAATGTCATTAGACATTGCTGAGGAGGATAATTATTTGAACTGCACAGACATTCCGCAGGAATTGCTGAACAAAATTTTAATTGGGTTTTGTAATAATCACATATGTAGGATAATTCAAATGGATGAACAACTGAAAGTGTATGTGCTAATTCATGTGCAAGTAAACCCGCAATCGACCATGGATATGATCGATAATTAATCAGCGACGCACCTAAAACAAAAGGATGAAATAATATTTTCCTATCGAAAAAGAAAAATTTACCTTCAGTAGTACATGCTGGTCCTTGAGAATAGCCGCCTGCAACTAATGAATTCTTATTTGAAAGGAGTACGCCAATAGCATAAATAGTTCCAAAAAGTAATTTTTGTGTATTAGCCAAATATGCTTGAAATTGTGTTAAAATATCTGGCATCCCTGAATTTGAATTATTTCCAACAGCGAATGAGATCTGATCACCATTTGACCATATTTCAGTGCCTGCATTAACGATAACTATATTAGCATGTGCTGTGTATTTTGAGGCAAGTGCAGCTAATTGAGTAGCATAACTTCTTGCATAGTTTATATTGCCATTGAGATCATCTGATGCTTCTTTGTCGAATACAAAGAAACATGCAATTCTTTGAAAAATAAAATAATTATTGTAAATATTTGAAAAAACTAATAGTTTCTAACTTGCGATGAATACTAGCTGTTGATACAACTGTATCATCAAAAACTAGGTTTCCTACTAATTGAATACGACTTGTAATTAAAGCATCAGGAATAAGTGTTATGTTCGTATTAGCTCCTGATGATGTTAAACTTGAAAAATGAAAAATATCTCAGATAATCACAAATAAATTATTCTAAGAAAATTCTTACCCACTCAATGCAAGTCCTTCAAGATGACCAATAGTGCAGAATGTTACGAAGATGAACGCAATCATTATGTTATTCAATCGAGTGATACGTTTCGAAAACGAAGTATTAATGATTCTATATTTCGAAAGGAAAATGACAAAAAAAGAACGATATTTTTCATATGTCTTTATTGCAAAAATATTTCCCCTCTTCCTCTTCCTCTTCCTATTTATTCTTAAAAATGATACAAGAAGTTAATGAGGTACGAAATCATTTAGTTACATATTGAAATACGCCACCTGGATACTTTGTCGAGTGAAACATTTTTCAAGTATAACATTTTAGTCGTCTAATAGATATTATCAATGTTTATTGAAGAGAAAAATATATCTTTTAATAGTCTTTTAGTTCCGACGAATAAAACTATTATGATAGCATATGTTTTGTTTGAGAGTCAACGAAGATAAATGAAAATGGAATAGCACGATCATTTGAATTCGATTCAATAAAACGAGCAAGTTGAATATAAAGATCAGATGTTAATTTGCATGTTAAAATTTGTTTCGTAAAAAGTTTTTCTTTCAAATATATCTTTAATGGAACAGTCATATTCATTGCTTGGTAATATACAGTTGTTAATAGAGTAAATGTTGTGTCACATTCAGATGTTTTTAAATGAGAAAAAAATTCGACAAAATTTGTTTTATTTATTCGATCGGGTGATAAAAGACGAAGTGGTCGATTAACTAGGTTTGACGATATCGATTTAAAATTAATATCGAGATTAATTACTTGGCAAAGATGAATAAGACCTTTGATATCACTATATCTATAAAGCAAAAAAAAGGAAATTTTAGATTTTGCAAAATCAACTGAAACATACTTTTGTTCACTTTGTTCATGGAAAAATTTGGAAAAATTTGGAAAAACATTAGTTAATGTTAATGCATAGTATGCTATTTCATATTGGTATTGTTGCTCAGTTAACCCACGAATAAGATCTTCAATAGCCACTGTATTGTTATTTGTTATTCCTCGTCGTACTGGATTCTGATAATTTCTTGTTGACACTGATACATCTTGAATAGACGTGTGCGGAATATAGGCAATAAGACATGCGCTAATAAAAAATAATGTTCGTAACATCATTAGACTTTTTTTTTCTTATCACTGATTATCACATAGAATGCAAGGACACAAGTGTGTGAGATGACTAGTGAGCTTTCTTTTACTTTTTTTTCTGATTCTTATCTTTGTTGCTTATGTTTTACTTCGACTATTCAGATAAAATATGTTGCTTGCAAATAATGCTTCCAGTTTTTTCTTCAGAAAATATACATTGTGAGATAGGTTTTCTCTTACTACCGAATGTTGCAATTATTTTTTAGGTTTTTTTGCAATCAGCCAGATTCTCATGAAAACAAAATTATAGCAATTCTATAGAAATTGACTTCCTTAGAAAATAAGTAATAACTCATATCAATACTCAAAAGTATTTACTTAATGTTAAATCTCAATATGACAACATATTTGATCACTCGCATTTTATTAACTGAATTATAAGTCGTTCTAGTCAAGATATTACCCTGAAAATAATTTCAACAACAGAATACCCCAAAAATTCATGATAAGAGTACAATTTCAAATGAGTTGTTTTCCTCATTATATGCCGATGATCTATATAGTAATATTTTATTTAATAAAATCTGGTTGAACATCAAAATCTAATAATGATTCTTATCAATTAAAACGCATAAATCGATACTTTTCAAAATAGTACAAAAGCACAAGATAATTATGTTTTCTCTTCATGGTTAATTTTCATTTCGTATAAATCCGGATTACTTGAAAGCATTTCGTCAACATTGAATTTCAATTTATTTTTAGTCGTAATCGAGCGAAATAACAAACTAGTTCGTTCTAAAAAATCGAATACTGCCGATAGTAAATGCCTTTCAACTTTCCTTAAAGTCTAGTGCATATTTTTGTTCCGTCTCAACAATCATTTTTTTGTTTTGTTTTATTGTTTCAATTGAACTTTATCTTATTTCACTGAAATCTATTGAATCACCATCTTTAGACCTTGCTCTTTTTTTACATGGATGTAGTGATGAAATATGGTTGCGAGTGCAAGTGAAGAGACCACATACATTTATGACTTTCATATTTATCTTCTTTGATTCTGTTTCATGTCTGAAAACTTGAACTTCTCCTTTCTACTATGTTCGAGTATACTCGTTATCTTTCTGTCTCTCGGTGTGGATCTTGTACAAGTACTGAAAAAAGCATCTGTGAATCAAACGAAATGAATAGTTCAATGTGTAGGGAAAATTGCATGGACGTTCTTGTCCTTCAAACAAACTTTGAAAGATGGTAAAGATTTTCCAAAAAAGTTGTATTCAAAATGCCAAGCGATTTCTAACGATTTGCTTTATTTATTATATCGAGTATGAAATAATAGTCAGTCCATATTTCCATATGAAAAGTAATCGTATCAGAATAGATGAAAGATGTGCCATCTGTAGAAATGAATCGACAAAAGAGTCATTCATAGAGAGGTTCTGGCATGAATGAAAACTAGAATACCCATAGCATATTTTTATCTAGATTATCGATATTCTTTTCGCTACATATAGTGCTCCAAAAATACTTCATTTAACAAGCATGTTTCATAAGTATTTTATATCCACTATCTTCGAAAAGGAAAAGCACCTTGATATGAATTTTAAAAAGAAACATTTTTCAATATTTTGAGCGCCGAAGACTTTCATTTTGGCTATGATAGGTTCAAAGTATTCTTTCGATGAGTTATAATAAGTTTCAATTTTCTGGCATTAAGGTACAAGTCATTGAAGACTAAATTGAATACAACTCACAACATTTATCAGTGCAAAATATTTTTCAAGCTAATCAAAAATTTCACTATTTGCTACCATTTTTGTTCTAAAAATTTGGCTCTTGTTGTCATTCATAGATTTCAGAAGTATGTCACAATATATTCGCCGTCATTTATGAGTTAAATGCTGTTTTTCATTATGTACAACATATTATTATCAGTATCACTGAAAAGATTCTTTTTTTTCTATTTATTTTACGTTTAAAATACTTCAATAAATATATAGCAATAATTGAGACATCAAGAGAGAGAGAGAGAGAAAGAGAGACAGAAAATACTTGTTCAATCACAATAGTTTCGATAATAATTTATAGTAGACATATATATGAAAAAAACTAAAAATCAGTTAGATAAATTATCACAAAAAGATTGATCATTTTATTTAAGGTTTTTTTATAACTGTTTCATCGTCACAATGAAGCATTGAATTCATTTGTAGATCCAATAATTCCTAAAAGAAGCAAATAAATCAAATAGTTTAAATAAAAAAAGAAAAATAATTAGTTCAGTTAGTAAACAGACAAATAAAAAGCGTGTAACATTGAGCGGTTAACAAACAAGAAAATGAATCAAATCTACTTCATAGAGGTTTTGATGATGATGATGATGATGACGAATTAAAATGTGCAGATACATCGCCATTATTATCTGTACGAAGATTTACACTTGTTTCCTGGAATCATTCGTGCATTCATACATTTATATAGAATATCATATAAACTATCTATTGATTTGTCTATCAACGTTTATATTATTCAAATAACTTACGTCTGTGTGTATATTCGATTTGAGATTAGATACTGTTGAATAGTGATCAAGTGGATTCGTGGATGCAAATTCCATGTCAATCAATTCAGGTGTAGAATTTCTGCAATTATTATTCACTGTTGAACCGTGATGATTATCAAGTGATTGCATTTCAGTTGGAAATAAATTTTCATTTCGATTCTATGATAATCGGTGAGAGAAAAAAATCATGTTTAAAAAATCAGAGCAGTGAAATCTATTTTCAAATATTGAGCAAGCTAGTGCGTGTCATTAAAAATAAAATAAACTTACAAAAGCACGTTGCTCTTTTGTCGTTAAAAGTCGCGTAATTGGCATAAGACGTGCTGGTAATGTAACAGTCAATGGAGGATAACTATGTGTCAGAAGAGGCTTCATAAATCTAAATTTATTAAAGGAAATTTTTTTTTCAATGTCCTACATCATTATTTTTATTAATTAGATTATCCTTCAATTTTTACTCATGACAAAATCGTGAAAATCATCATTATTGCAAAAAAGACGTTATCTTAAATCATTAAAAGTTTTATGGCAAGACACATGGCTAGATACAAAAATATAATAGTAAATAGTCTTTCTACTATTATTATTTCAAAAAACAAATTTTATATATGCATTACGTACTGTTGATATAATAAACGTTGCTGAATATAATTACATCTAAGTTTTTAAGCAAACAAGCCGTAGGATATGATATACATAAATTTATACAAGCATTAGTTCTCGAACTTAACTAATCAAAATGATGTTGTTACTGTAATTACTATGGAACTAACGTATGAAATAAAATAGAATTGCTGGAATTATAAACAAGCAAATTCATCAGAACAGATTTCAATTTTTTAAAATGTTTATTTATTGTTAACGCATGTTAGCTAATGTTAAACACTAAATACAGAGAATTACTTTGAATGGAATAGAAATCTAAAACATAGTCACTATTACGAATTCATTCTTTCATTCTATATTAATGGTGTAGTTGACTTCAATATTGTGAATATACTTATGATTGCTCTTGAGAAAAAGGCAGTAGAATATTAAAAATATCTGTAAAGGATTAGAGATGTCTTTCAAAGATCTTAATCAAATAGAAAGAAATTTTATTAAGATATCTAATATGTTTTCGCAAGAATGAATTTTTTATTCACATATGTCAATGGTTTCATAAGATTATATTTCACCAGATCTGATGGCTAATGTCATGAATAGATGTGAGAATACATAAAAAAATCATCGATTTAAAGAAACGAAATATCATAACACTGTTGAATTTAATATTCCATGAGTCAATATTAGATAATTCATTTTATAGTCAATAAGAATTTTAGAGAATATCGTTGCTGTTTAAAATGAAATCAAAAAGAACTGGAGCAAAACCAATTGTCAATTACAATCGCAGATTGTTCCGTTAATGTTCTTTTTAATGGTAGAATGAAAAGATAGCTTTATCAAAAACAATCGTGCGATACTTCCATTCGTTTGTGTTACTTACATTTGATCAAAATGAGACCATTTTTTTAAAAGCCAAGTCTTCGATTCAGGTTTTTTTTCAATCTATAATACCAAAAAAAACATTTAGTATCATAGTTTTCGATACTGAAACAACAACAAAAAATTAAAGCAATTGTTCATCACCAAATGTTAGTTATGTATTAATTTTAGCAAGATTATTTTAAATGCTTAAAGAAAAACGAAAAAAAATACCTTTGTATTTGGTGATATATCTCGTCGAAGATCAATTGCTAATGTTGAATCATCATCATTATCATTGTTCAATAGTGCAACCTCGTCTGATGAATGACGTTCTCGCTGAAAATGTTACGCGAAAATTGGTTTGAAAGTTTTTATCGATAGAAAATCCTTTCTTTTCTCTCATCATTTTTCTTATTAAAAAAAGGAATTAGAAACAAAAAAATATCTTACATTTCTATTATCTTCCATAATTCGGTATTTATCATTTGATGAAGGTGCTTCAACTTCTTCATTAACATTTACGCTACGTAAAACAAATGTGCCTTTTTGTTTAAATGAAAAGAAAATTTTCTTACCGAATTTTAAGCCATTTCAAAACCGGTGCTGTTAATGTTCCATTAAATACAACAGTCAATATAACAATTAGGGATGTCGTTGTATACATAAGTGAACGAGCTTGTGTTGAAACATTTCGAATGGCTAATGCAAAAGCAAAAGCACCGCGTAAGCCAGAAAATATAATCATCGTTTGCCAGCGCCAACTAATCTGATTTTTACGAGTTAAATTAAGTAGAAATGATAAAAACACAACACATAATATTCTTGATAGTCCAATAGCAATCTAATAAAAAATTCATTAAAAATAAATAAAATTAGAATGTGTATTTTACAAGAGCTATAACAATAAATCGAATATCCCATTGATGATTTGGAAATGTAAATAATGTGATTCCAATATAAATAAATATAAAATTTTCAGCAAGAAAATTAAATAATTCAAATAGCTATAAAAGAAAAAGGATAAATTTTAAAAATACGATATCAATTAATCTACTTCACGTGTTCGTCGTTTAGATTCCTGAGACAGATTATTGAATGTATAATGTGCTTGAAATATGCCACAAAAGAGTACAGCCACAATGCCTATTTAAATAATTTTATTACTATTTTTATAAATGTTTTATTTTCTAAATAATGAATATAGTAAATAATGGAGGATGTCCCCAGTAGAATTCATTGAGTTTGCATCATTTCAAGTGTATGATATACTTGTAGTAGCTATTTATAGTTCGTCTACTAACACGAAAGCATACATATTTTTCAAACAATCTTGACAGTGATTGCATAAGGATCACATCATAATGAGTTCTTAGTTTTTAAAGGAACGTTGAAGAAGTAGGTACAGAATTTGGATTCTATCCGAAAAGTTCTAATTTCAAAAACAAGGATTCACTATTTTTAGAAATAACCTTATTTTACTGTTGGTAAATTGCAACATTTCTATGGCTTATTGTCTCATTTCTTTCTCTGAAAATTATAAAATAGTGAAGCTGTCATTACATGATAGTGTATTAGAAAGAAAAAAGATGAAGAATGTGTACTTTTAACGAAAAAAACAGTGCAGCTATATTTTTCATCCATTCAATAGGGTAAAGTACATTTGTATCTTTATATTCTACATTTGGAAATTTCCTGAAACAACTCATATAAGCGAACATTAATTTCACGATCGTAGCATAAGAAAATTACTTTCGTGGCTTCTCAGAAGAAGGCCCTCGTTGAACGATAATGAATTCTATTAATATTTGAATAAGAAAAGTATTTGAATGGAAACAGATCCTTTTAGTTGTTTAATCTTTTTGAGTTATAACTGTTCAATAGGGAGTTCCAGCGATAAATCGAAGCTATTTATAATCTGTAGCTTATTTTGTCACTGAATATTTGGACACAAAAAAGTGTTCTTCGTCATAATTCTATTCTTATTCGATCGGAATTACCTGTCAATCCTGCAGCTTCAGAAGCCAAAAATGTGCTATAGGACATCAAAACAAAAAGTGTTGTTTCCAAAAGCGGGAAATCTCGAATATATGTAAATTTGGTCATCTAAAATAAAATAAATAATATTTTTGATAGAAGAAAATTCGTCGAATATTATACCAATGCTGTGAGACATCCCATGCCTGAACCAATAGCAAATGAACCAATAAAGACGACAAAAAAATTGCATAACGATTTAAACATAAGCCCTCGATCGAATCGATCTAAGATTGCACTAGCGACATATTTTTCAATTGATCTTAAAATAGAAAGATATATCAAATCTGTCGAAGAAATATATAAAACAAATATTTTTCATACTGAGCTAAGACGATACAAACAGCATCATTAAGTACACTTTCACCAAATATAATTGCATAGAGATCAACATCAACATTTAAATCATGAAAAATTGCCAAAACGGTTACTAGAACAATAATAACAGATCCTCAATCATAGAATCAAATTTATTCAAACAAAAACTTACCTGGATCAGTTGCTGATATTATAGCACCAAAATAAAGTGAATCGGTGAATGAAAAATAACTTCGCAGACCACTAAATGCACGTATGGAGGTGTATACCATCATTCTTAAAAGATCAATAAATAAAAATAAAAATTGAATATCAATTTATCGAAAAAAAAGTATGAATGTACCCTGTTGATATACAAGCTATAGTTGTACCAATAAGAGCAAACATTAGAATTGCGCCAAGATTACGAAAAAAGTTTTTCTATTATTTAAGAAGAAAAAAAGGAATTTACAAAAGAACTAAATCAAACTAATTACATACTCGTTTCATACTATAACCAGCATGAAAAATAATCGGTGGTAAAATTATATTGAAAAATATTTCCGAATTAAACATCGCCTAGTAAGCATAAAAGCAAATTTACAAATTATGATTTCATTTTTATTTGAAAGTACTTTATATTCTTCAAGATGCATTGTATCTTTTTGATATGGTCCTTGAAAAGCATATAAATAACTGGCTGACATATTTTGATCTCTACATATATATAGTCGAAAAAGTTAACGTTTATTTTATTTCTAAGATATTTACTCGAAAGAGACCCAGTTCGGCATTACATTTTTCGGTAGAGATGTATGATTGAGTCTTAATATACTCGGTTTTGTATTTGATGTGCTTGTGTGCCGCAGAATAGCTCCAATAATAGAACCTAATCGTAAAATAATAAATAAATCAACTTTGGAATAAAATACAAAATTATTTTTTAAATTTAAATTACCATAAATAAGTGCGAGACATGTTTCATGTAGATAACGAAAATTTCTTCTTTTGCATATCCATATTGTTAACACAACAATAACAAGAAGTGTTGTAAAGATAAGTAAGTTCAATGAATCAATGCGATGAACATTTGCTGTTCGTTCTTCTTGATTTGATTCAATTTTTTCCGCATCTAAGTTGCTGTTTGACATTATAATATATACTTTTTAGAAATAGATTTAGTCTGACTGTACAGGATTAATTCAATCAAATGTTAAGAAAAAGAAAATAGGCTAGGGAAACAAAAAGCCTATCTTTTTTTCTTGCTCGTCAGTTTAATTTGAAAGAATATGTACAAGATAATCTGAAATAAAAGTTTTCTATATAACGTTTACACTGATCACTCTCGAAGATACGTATAACGAGACAATTTTTTTGCTTTCTTTTCTTTTGAACGAGTAAACACAAATTAACTAGTCACAGTATGAACAAGACCGGTATTCTTGTTTACCAATGAAGAAAACAGTAACCATTGGCATCAAAACTAGATTATTTTACTTAACTAATACTTAAGTCTAGAAAAAGTTTTCATTTTGACATCTACTAATAGACTATCCTTAAGATGTATTTAAAATTCTAATTCTAATCTTACCATTTATCGTTATAGCATCCTGTTCATCTACTTTGATCAGATCTTTCATTGAATGATAAACAGTATCAATAAAGTATTGCACATTAGACGATAAATTGAATTTTGAAAATCCACTAGTTTCATTATTGACTTTGTCACTGTTTTTCTCGTATATCGCCATGAGAATAATATTTTTAATACTACTTTCGAGCCGTATGTTCTTATTCAGAGGACAAAAGCATGCTTTGATTGGCTTTTTTTTTCAATAAATTATCAGTCCTTGATAGTAGTGCAGCATATGCTATTAATCTTTTTTTCCCCATCGATTCTACTGCATTGTCATTTACATGTTTATTCTACTTTCTACCATCTCAAATCAGCTGTTTCTATTTAGTATTCGATCCAGAATAATTTTTTTCTAGAAAAAAGTGATTCGTTTTTATGGAAATATTCATTTCTACAAGAAGCACAAAAACAAAAATATGATGATTCACTGCATTGCGTGAGTATAGATGTTGTGACTCAACTCTTTAATTAAATACATCTGATGAGCAAGCCGATTAGTCGTTTTTATTTTTCAAAAAGGCAAAACAACAAATTACTCATTTCGATCTATCACCACGATGTTTACTATGAAATCTACTTAAAAATTCGGATTTTCCCTACAATAAATTCGTTGTAAGGAAAAGCATCTCTTAATAATCTAAACATAAGTTGTATTCTATGATATCTAAAAATCTTATTCTACTAATTAATTTATCTAGTAATCCACAATAAATAAATTTAAAACAATAACAAGAATATCAGAACTTTCAATGGAAATGTTCATTTTATATCATTGAGGATTCGCATATACTTTCAAAAATAATCTGAAATCTTCTCGAATGACTAGAGTAAATGAACCCTACATATGAAATTGCATCTCGCAAATGAGAACAGCAAATGGACAAATATTATTGACTTGTATGAGTTTTTCCTCTTTTTCAGATCCTCCATTGGTCTCTTAACAAGCAAGTCCTATTAAAAATAAAGAAAGCAAAAAAAAAAGAAAAGAAACATAAATATAGATTTTATAACAGTGACATCTATTGCAAGCAATTAAAATAAATTAAATTTTAATAATATTAACGCTAGTCTTTTTCACAAGTATTGGCATATTTCTTAATTGTTGTATTTCTTTCACTGATGTCCACGGATCAGTAATTGCTCGTCGATCATCTCGAGCATCAGGTTTCAATTTAGGTAAATTTATATTTTCTTTTTTCTCAATGTCTTCAATGATTGTATAATATATCGATGACCCTATTTGTTTTCGTTTTGATATTGGTTGTTGATCTCGTTTATTTAACTTTTCTAATATTTTGGCATGTTTACGAAATGAGTCATCAAATGATATATCCGGTAAGAACATTGATGCACTTGGCGTCTCTATCCGCGAAAATGTTACTCTACTTAGTGAATCTTCTTCGTTAGTAGACAGTTTTGAGCCTGAAAAAAATAATAAATTGGAAAGATGAGCAGGAATTGTTGCACGTGCTTGCTGATGTGCATGGCCACCATTCGAACGATTCAATAAAATAAGAAGAGAAATTTCGCGAAGAAATTCACTCCAGTTCATCAGAGAAAGGTTTCTAATATATATAAATTAATTATAATATACATATATATATATATTTTTAAGTTTTAAAACTTACTGAGATATTTCTTCTTCATCATTGTCGTCTCCTAAAACTGTACGGATAAAATCGTTGCCATATTTATTTCTAGAATGAAAATGTTTTGTTTCTTTCTTTTTGTGTGTCCATATTGAACTAATCAAATCTATAGATTACTTGAGTAGTACAATAAGATCATGATGAATTTGCTTGAAATGTTTTCTTGTTATTATTATATTCAATTTATTGTCAAATGTTTTTCGTGGATCTTTTAAAAACAGAGTTTTTGCGAAAACCACTTCTTTTTTCGTCAATTTTGCCGTTAATTCAATCTTAAAATGATTTCTTAAAAAATCAAACAACCAAAACATCGTTTTAGTAAAGAACTCACTTTATCTTTAGCAGCAATTATTTTACAACTATAAAGAAGAGCAAAATCTGACCAAGCAATAACACCTTGTTGTGTTGAATCCATTAAACTGAAATATATTTTTGCTAAAGCAACATTATTTTGGATAAACGCATGAAAATCAGCTGATATTGTTGTATTTAATTGTAGTGAAAGAAATTCTTCAAAAGTAATATAACCATCTGAAGAGAAAACATGAAGTTATTTTTGACAGTTTCCTACAACTAAACGATATTTTTTAACCTTGATTTGTATCGATTAGTTCGAATGCCTGCATTAAATGATGAAGTTCATCGTCATTGAGTAATCGAGTAAGATCTCTCTTAATTAAAATGCAAAAAACATATTTTCAACTAGCAATTTAAAGTAATTTACACATTCTGGACAACTCCAATCCTGTTTTGCTAAACGTGGTAGTTTAAATGTTGGATCGTTAATATAACCACGTTCAAAAAGACATTGAGAATGATATGCTTTAATACAAACGCGACAACGAAGATAGCTACCAATACAAGGACCGTCACAAAAAGAACAGAACAATTCATAAGCAATAGCGACCTTTTCAAAAAGAAAAACAGAAGAACATTATGATATAAAAAGTTATATATCGCTTTGATTAATATACGCGAGTTGCTTCTTTATCTGTTGGCATTAGAGGTGTTTGAAATGGATGTCGAGATTTTGAAATTGTTGATGCTCCATATATTGAATGTTGCCTTATAATAGGTCGTGAACTAATTAAATCAGACTTAACACCTAAATAAAATATTCTATCATTAGAAAATAAAAGAAAGATTGACTTATATTATTCTAAAAAGTTACAATAAATAAAGCCCGCCAAGTGTGTTTATAGAGAAAGAAATATATGTCTGAGATGCATTATTTCATGTCAACAACTAAAGTTGGTTGTCGTTACCTGGTTTACTACTTAATTTTGTTGCCTGTCTAGATAAAATATTCATTGAAATATCTCGAACGATTTGCCAACTTGGTTTCTTTGTTGTTGTTGGCATTTCCTTTGTTTTAGGAATTTGTTCGATCGGTCTCAACGAAGGATTATTTTGTCTCTCTCGTTGTTCCATTTGATCTTTTGAAGTGCCAACAGTAACATCATGACTCGAGCCAATTTTTTGCTCATGTACCATCTTCTTTTTAAAATATGTATCTATTTATCTTGAAATCAAGTAACAATATCACTCAATAATAATAAACTTGAGATTCTTCCTTTCTATTTTATTTTACGACAATGATACAACAACTAATCCGAAGGACAAAATAGAAGTGAGACAGGTGTAAAGGAAGGGAAGAGATGGAGACTGAAAAATAAAAGTGTTACTTTCGTTTCTTTTTTTTCTTAGAGTTTTCGTCTTTCTTACAATGACAAATATTTGTCATTTGTTTGTCGATTAACTCAGCTAGCTAAGATAAGGATATCAACGAGAAATCAAATATTATTCTCAATTAAATTTTTTATTCTTTGAAAGAAAATATACTGATAATAGAGTTCTCCAAAAAAAAGTGACGATGTTATAGAAACTTGTAGTTTTATCAACGAGCGATATTAGTCTGAATACTGTTTTTTTTCTTCTCGAGTATGTATCTTGAACTGCCTTCTAAATTCTATATGAAATGAGCGAAATAAAAATATTATGTTACTTGGTGAACAACTATAAATATTAATGAGCTAATACTCTTCATTATATCTTAAAAACATTCACCTACATATATATTGAATAGTATTGCTAGGTAATGGTACTGTCGTAACTTTGAGTAACGCTCGTAAATTTAGTTATTGTGAGATCAGCTATGGCTGAAAAATATTTTCTTGTTTTCTCTACACATGTCGTTTCTTTTTAATCTGCCAGTGTCAGGTGTAAGTAGCAAAGATAACATAGTCAGTTGTTAGAACGAGTTCGGAAATTTTTTTATTTATTCCAAGAAATATTCAAAAAAAAAGAATCAGTGACATAACTCAAAACATCTGATACAAACTATATATATTTGTACAACAGTGACCAACATTGTTTTATTGACTGAGAAAATTTATATTAAGGAAAAGCTGTTATCTTCACAATAGAGTTAGAAGCTGACAGACTGAGCCGGTGCTTTTATCGATCACAATAAAGTTAATATATCTCAGCCATTGTTGCCGGTGATCGCGTAAATAGTTTCAGAAAATTCAATCTACCGTCGCTGCCTATTCATAAACACATGAATAATATGTTCTTGTAATTTTTTGATAGAATGAATCCATTTTTAGGATAATCTTGTTGGATATCTTCTCATTCGATTCACTGATATTATTTCACCGTTACTTCTTTTTCAAAAAATCTTTCGTAATTCATACAAATTTTTAAAAGGCATCATTAAACACTTGCAACTATTCACTTCTAACAGAAGCATCAACTTGCAAGAAATTCAGTGTTTCTGAATCTATCAAAATCTTTTCTAGAAAGAAATTTGCAAATATTAATTTTATTTAACAGCATTCTTTTTTGAATAATTGGATTCTATCGAGAATATTTCTCGAAAAAGATACATATAAGCAATAGATGATATTGTTAATGTTAGACCAATGGCTATACTTAGCAAAATAATGACCTGAATCAATGTTTGAGATAGATATTGACGACGATTATTTTGAATTATTTTTTTCTGATCGTCAATTTTCTCATATTGATTTTTAATACACGTAGAGTCTTGTTCAAAACAACTGCGTAAATCAATTGATTGATCATCAGATCCACTCCGATATTTATAACCAGGATAGCATTTTCTTGAGCATGACGACCACTCAGTTAAATAATTTGTGTTACATCGTATTGACAACGTTAACAACAAGAATATTAATATAGAGTTTAGCATGACAAGAAAAGGCGCTTCTATTTATTCATTCGAAATATTCGCCTTTTCTTAAGGCGCTTCTATTTATTCATTCGAAATATTCGCCTTTTCTTATTGTAGAATTGTTAATAGTTTTTCTCAATAAACATCCGATATCGAATTTCATTTATCTAGAATGATAAACATAGTGAAATGACAGAGCTCACGCTCATATTTGTATTGTTGTAGATCTTTACTTCTAGAGGTATTACACATTTATTGAAATTCTATCGATTTTGTATCCTTCTTTAAAAATTTTATTTTACATAGAGATTAATCTATCATGTCAACACTTTGGATAGTAATCAGAAGCTTTAGTCTTATACAATTACTCATATCTATGTTATGTTTGAATCAATAAGAAGATAACTTCTTAGTTATCTTCCGATGAAAGAAATCTTGCAAAAATCAATTAAGATTCTACACAATATTTCTAACAATCGAATATCATAAGTATAACAGATAACTAGAGGAAGGAATAACTTCATTTCATATTCGTTAATCATTTTTTTAGTGAATTGCTGCAATTGCAGTACTTGTTTATGTAGGTGAGAGAGAATACAATAGATTATAGAATGGTACAAATAGCTTGTTGTAAGAGTAAGATATATGTCGTAATGTGAAATAATAGTGCTAGTCAGATATGATCTTTAGTATAAGACTTTTGTAGAATGTGATAACTAGAATTTGTAAGATCTTATATGATTTTATAAAATCATCATTTTTATGCCTCGCTATTACAAGTTGTATTTAAAGCTATATTTGGTTGTTAGATTTAAAAATATTGTAGCGATCCAATACACATCGTTAATTAAAACATTACGTGTTTAAAAATTGAAAGCGCATTTATAATGCATACAAGCCATGTGACAGTTCCATAGAGACTCATGGAATACCGTTCCAATATTCCAAATTTTGTTTTAGATAAGCTGTAGGAGATGATATACTCTTTTCCTGTGAGCAGCAAACATCGGTTAGATTTTATGAGATCATAAAATGTCAAGAGGCAAAATTAAGAAAATGAATCTTTCAAGTAATTCAAAGTGTAGAAGCTACAATAAAGTACCTAAAAATGTGTTAACATACCATGATGTATCTTAAAATTCCTTTCTAATATCACAGAATTAAAATTGTTCAACATAATCAATAGTGTCTTGAATAGAGAGAAGTCGATTACATATTTAGACTTTTCTACTTTGAAAGCATTTGATCGCAGTTTGTAAGGACTACATAGTTGTAACTCTAAAATACCTGTCATTGGCTAAGAAATAATCATAACGAAAAATTGCAATATTTTCCTTAGATGAATACACTGACAAACATGCGCTAAAGTATTTGTAGAGATATAGACACTCTACCAAAAGTCATCATCAACTATCTAGAATTGTCTGATTTCGATGGTATATGAAAGAAAATTGTACGATCTTTCAAGACACTGTAAACTCATATATATGTCGTAGGCCAATCTCGGATCCAGACCAATCCCGAATTGGCCTAGGCCATTCTAAGATCCGAGTTTGGACTAGTCCAATCTTGGATTGATGCAATTCTATTCATTAATATATCAATAACTTTTTACATAAACTTTAGATTTGAGTCATTTTTTGAAATCATGTTCATACGATGCCAATTTGCTTTCTACAATAGGTTTTGGAAAGATTCAAGTAAAATATTAGGAGTTATGAATAGATTTCTCTACGGGAACAAGTTTTATGAAAAATTGTTAATAAGCTTCCGAGTCTAAAGTAAGCTTCTCCGTGAATGTTTGTAATACATAAAACGACGTTATCTGAACATGATTTCAAAAAATGACTCAATTCCAAAGTATATGTAAAAAGTTATTGATTTATTAATGAATAGAATTGCATCAATCCAAGATTGGATTAGTCCAAACTCGGATCTTAGAATGGCCTAGGCCAATCCGGGATTGGCCTGAATCCGAGATTGGCCTACGACATATACTTCTTAGAAATACTAAGCTAATACAGATTAGCTCAAGTGAGAAATCTACTTTATTCTCTAAAATATCTAGTGATGACATAAACTATTTGCCTATGTCTGTGATTGGTGGTCACTTTTTTTTGGGTGGTCTCTCTAACGACAACAACTAACCGCACCTAGTACCTATAGTACCCAGTGGTGATCTAACCTGATTACTAGTATCTGTAATAGGTAGGCTTGACTTTTTCTCATACTCTATGATGAAAAGCTTTGGAAGACATAGCAGCATATATTTCCTAATTAACACCAGCGTTAGGACGAGTACAAGTACAGCAAGTAAAAGTATTTTACTTGTACTTGAAAATATTTACTTTTACTTTTATTTGTACTTAAAAAAATGTATTTATACTTTTAATTGCTTGCCAAGTAAAGTATTTGGTGCGTATACTTATACTGGGTGAGTCATAATGAACGGAACATATGAGTACGAAGTACTCTTCCCTAAGTTCAAGTGCCGAGTACACCTGATGAGTACTTGTACTTGTACTTATACTTTCAAAAAGGTGCTTAGTACTTGCATTTTTACTTGAAAAAGTACGAGAAGTACAAATGCAAATACTTTCGTCCGAGCTCTGATTAGCATACTTTTTATAATTCACTAATGTCTGTGATGAAGAGGTGGAGTCACAAAAATCTCACTGTTTAACTTACATTGACCATTTTCTTCGAAATTAAAGTGAGTTTCAAAAAAATAATCGCACAGACGTACATTATTTTAGTAAAATCAATTAAAAAAACATTTAAAGATTTCCTTCGCTCTCATATTAACTATTAGAAATTGCATCAGCTATTGCAGCGCTACTATTACGTGACCTTTCCTCATCTTTCTTTATGGGAGAGTCGTTTAAATTCGAACTTGAATCAGATAATTAATGTTTTTTTTCATTAAAATGAACTAACCAATTGTCGCATAATTATAAAAAATCAATTAATATACTTCATAAAATGTACATCAAATTTCAGTTGGCATTCGGCTCTCTACACAAATTATATTCAAATTGCCCTATAATTTTCTGTAGTAATTCGTGTAAAAGACGGAGGCGTATATAGGAACGTAAATAATTAGACGATAGAAACGCAATACTACAGTTCTCGCAGTGGTGGACATAGAAGCTCTACGACTAACGGTTCTAGTAGTAAAAAATTAGTAATTGTCAACAAAAAACACAAAACATCGGAAAATTATGATACACATATTAATGAAATTAATGAATTACAAAGAAAATATATGATGAATTCCTTGGCAAATAATGAAACAATT